GTTAATGCAGCGTTTTCCTTTTGCATGTGTTTTCCGGTTAATGCAGCGTTTTCCTTTTGCATGTGTTTTCCTTTTGCATGTGTTTTTTGGTTTATGCAGCGTTTTCCTTTTGCATGTGTTTTGTTTAATGCCGCGTTTCTGTCTTGCATGTGTTTTTTTGATTAATGCAGCGTTTTCCGTTTGCATGTGTTTTGTTCAATACCGCGTTTGTGTCTTGCATGTGTTGTGTCTTTTGCATGTGTTGTGACCGTGTCGGCCACCGTAGGATTAATACTGCATGTCTCAGTCAGAAGTTAGCTACCTGCCACTTTCAGATTGAACCCCAGTTCATGTAAAAGTGTCAGGGCCCTGTCAAGGGGCTCCAGTACAGGGTCAATGAGGACAGCCTCCTTGGTGCTTGTGTCTGCCAGCAGGTACGTGTAGGTGCTGGACTCTGGCTCAAACAGCTGAACAAGAAACAACAACAATGACACAGCAAAAAATAAAGGATGGGAACAGGTTATGCATCTGTCTAGTGGTTGTGTGTTTGCGTGAGGAGACAGAGGAAGAAAGTAAGAGACAGGACATGACTGAGTTACATGCTGTTCATGCCCCTTTTCACTATTTGGAAAGTAAAGAACTTTCCTACAACAGATGACGTGACCCCACCAGAGCCCTGATCTCAACATCAGTCAGTCTGGGCAGACAAAAGGAGGCAGAGACAGTGAGATCAGCCTGAATCCACAGAAAAACTGTGGCAAGGTCTCCAGGATACTTAGTACAATTTAGACTATATGTTAAATGATTTTGTTTAATATCTTTGAGTGTGATCACTCAATATTTAATGAATTCCTCAACCAGCTTGTTTTTAACACTTTTGATTCCGTATCGTTAGAAGAGGATTTGGGAAATACTTCCAGATTTTGGGTGAGTGTTATGAAACCTTAAAGCCTTTGGCAAGTTTCAGTGTGAAACTATCAGCTCAGCTCTAATAGTCACGGAGCTGGAGCTAGGAAGCAAAATGCTGTATTCTACCAACAACAGAGCTACATGTCTACTTAGAATGATAATAAAATAATGCATTTAAAAGCAACTGATTGTCTGTTTAAGTCCGAGGTAATGACATAAATTTGCTTTAAAGATATCACAGCGCAACCTTCAGCTGTGGAAAAAACACTGTTGACAATGAATGTGTGTAATTTTGACCCGTCCTGCCCATTAAAAGATGTGGAACACGCAGGGGGTTAAAAAGTTCACTAACCCAAAGATCAGATAATGGCTAACACGCCTAGCTCACTTCTTATCGCAGTTACCAGCTGCTAGAGGCAGCAGTGTTTGGAAACCTGACAAAACATCCTCAAATAAAGCCAAACATCATAACCTACTTGTCTAAAGAACAGTCCTTGGGTCAGCGCCATCCTGGAGCTGTATCTCCTGCTGTTAGCTCGTAACAGGTCAACACTAACACCTATTCCAGGAGAAAGGTGCCTGCTCTGAGTTGCTGACGTGAAGCGGGGGACGCAGATCCCTAAGACCCGCGCGCTCTCTCTCTTCCTCCCCTACTTATAGACATGTAAGCCCCGCCCACACCGAGGGAAGCTATTCACCTCGCTTCGTTGGCTTTGTATTGAGTGACAGCGTGGTCTGTTTTACAAACAACGGAGAAATTCCTAAAACCTGCTAGCTGACATGCACTACCAACAAGACAAAAAAACCCAGAGTTACAGTTTTAAAGGCTGCTGAACAAAAAAACAAAGTGGGCCAGGGGCAAACAGGGATCCTGACACACAGTGTGCCTTCGTGTGCAGCAAGCATTTTGTCACTGTTAGGTCAAATATCCAAATGTCAGATACGGTTACTAGCTAAGTGAAAGCCTTTTGGCAGTATGTCATGGTTTGTGGATTAAATCAATGGCTTAGTGCATTGCCAATACACAGCTAAACATTCTAACAGCTCACTTGTCCCATCACTGGAGTTATCGACTGTAGGTGGAGCTCTGTTTTGGAAAAAGGGCTTCCCTCCTGCTGTGTTTTATCAAGCTACTGTAGGTAACTAAGGCACACAGACTGTATCACCAGAGAATTATCCCAGGAGGGCCAAATGCTTTGCCACCCAACACCAGCTGAGACACACGGAGACTTGACTCCTGCGTTTTCCTCTTTCTCACACGAAACGTAGGACGTTTGGATGCTGAACTCTCACCATGTGTCAACTATGTCAGTGTCGCTTCTAAAGCGGCTGCAATTTGCACCAATAGCCATTTTTGCATTAATAAAAGGCAAGATATGGGCTGGTCTACAAAACTCCCACGGGATAACTTCCTCTGCATACTCTACACAGGCCAGATAGGTGCACGACACTCAGTGATCTTGTTCCCGTAGAATTTGCACCAGATTACACTAAGACCTGTTGCTGCCCTCCATCTGCAGATGTCAGCATATAGGCTACAGTGTAACAGCTGTTTCCGGTCCTGAGCACATGATTTCAGTCATTACCTCAGATGCCTTAAGCGAGCTCAATGCATCCCTGTTCATTACTGACTGTTTTGGTGCCTGAACATCATCCATGCGCGCTCATAACGCACACTCACGCCACATACACAACAGGAGCGTGGAGTACAGCCACGCCCACATGACTCGGCAGGTTACAGTGAAATAATAGTGCTGTCACCTACTTCACTAAACAAAGAGATACTCAGGGGTTTGAGTTTACAAATCAATGGCAAAGTAAGGTTGCCTTGATTTTATTAGATATATATTTTATATCGGGAAAGATATACACACTGTGCACTGAATGAATACGAACTTGTCAGCGTCCGGCTGACAAATAAATGGTGACACTAATAAGTCTGATCAACATCCTGTGAGGCCCTCGAGTTTTGTAGGTGCAGTGTTTCTCTGTCCCTACTCCCTGTTCTCAGTGTAAAATACAGTCTTATGCAAAAGTTTAGGCACCCCTTGATAAATAACAGATTTTGGTGATTTTTTATTTGAACAGATGTTAACACAGTTTCTCTTGGAAATGGAAAAAATGCACAATATTTTCTGCAAACAGTGATGCATAGTTACTTCTTATGCCATAAATTGAACAAAAATAAAAAATAAAAACATTATTATGGCATGGTGCAAAAGTTTGGGCACCCTACACAATCAGTACTTAGTAACACCTCCTCTGGCAGATATCACAGCTTGCAAACGCTTTTCATAGCCAGCTAAAAGTCTTTCAATTCTTGTACTTGGGATCTTCTCCCATTCTTCCTTGCAAAAGGCTTCTAGTTCTGTAATATTCTTTGGTCGTCTTGCATGCACAGCTCTTTTAAGATCTACCCACAAATTTTCAATGATGTTTAAATCAGGGGACTGTGATGGCCATTCCAAAACCTTCAGCCTGCGTCTCTTGAGGTATTCCATAGTGGATTTCGAGGTATGTTTAGGATCATTGTCCTGTTGTAGAAGCCATCCTCTTTTCAGCTTCAGCTTTTTTACAGATGGTGTGATGTTTGCTTCCAGAATTTGCTGGTATTTAGTGGAATCCATTCTTCCCTCCACCCGTGCAATGTTTCCTGTGCCACTGGCTGCAACACAACCCCAGAGCATGATAGATCCACCCCCATGCTTAATAGTTGGCAAGGTGTTCTTTTCATGAAATGCTGCTCCTTTTTTTCTCCAAACATGCCTTTGCTGATTGTGTCCAAAGAGTTCTATTTTAACTTCATCAGTCCACAGCACTTGTTTCCAAAACGCATCGGGCTTCTGTAGATGTCCTGTTGCATACTTCAGACGTTGGATTTTATGATGGGGACGCAGATAAGGTTTTCTTCTGCTGACTCTTCCATGAAGGCCTTGTCTGTGCAAGCATCGCTGCACAGTGGAACGGTGCACCACCACTCCTGAGTCTGCTAAATCTTCCTGCAGGTTTTTTGCAGTCAAATGGGGGTTTTGATTTGTCTTTCTGACCAGCATACGAGCAGTTCTGTCCGAGAGTTTTCTTGGTCTTCCAGATCTCATCTTGACCTCCACAGTTCCCCTGATCTGCCATCTCTTATTTACATTTCTTACTGTGGAAACTGCAAGCTGACAACGCTTTGCTATCTTCTTGTAGCCTTCTCCTGCATTGTGGGCGTCAATAACTTTCATTTTCAGGGTCTTACACAGCTGCTTAGAGGAACCCATGGTTGCTGGGTGTCCACAAGTGTGTGCACAAGGTTTGAAGAGTCAAAGTATTTGTACAGCTTTGAAATTGGCATTTACCAATGACAGCTGTTGCTGTGCATCAGATCTAACGAGCTGATTAAGGTCTGATACCTTGTGAGAGACTTTGAGACTCTGGAACTCTTAGGGTGCCCAAACTTTTGCACCATGCCATAATCATGTTTTTATTTTTTATTTTTGTTCAATTTATGGCATAAGAAGTAACTATGCATCACTGTTTGCAGAAAATATTGTGCATTTTTTCCATTTCCAAGAGAAACTGTGTTAACATCTGTTCAAATAAAAAATCACCAAAATCTGTTATTTATCAAGGGGTGCCTAAACTTTTGCATAAGACTGTAAACACCTCGTACTTGATCTCTTGCTGGTGTCCTGCATTGGGGTTATCATAAATCTGGTATCTGATAACCATGGCAAACCCTGCATCTTGTTTTCGGCTGGTACTAAGACAAACGCCACTTGTGTTCCAGTTTTTTTTTAATTGTTATTTTATGGGGAAAATCATTATAGTATTTGTCTGATGTATTGCTAATGAAACTAAGTGCTGGTAGCAGTACTGCTGTGATGGAATAAAGCTACCTTATCCCATGTAGGCTGTGTTAATTAACACAGAGCAGTTTGATAAAATGCAACTTTAAAATAAAAGACTTCTTATTCCATGTTACACATTCACTGCTCTTCTCTAATCTCTGTAAAGTTCAAAGGCAAATTGCAATCAAGTCATTCCATAAGACTTGTACAACATGGAGCTGTTGATGCTGTACTTTTCTGCCCTTTTATTGTTGTTGTGATTGGGGAGGTCTGTAATGTTTGGTGGATTGCTTGGATTGCTGGAGGCCTGAGTGTGCATTTTCTTGCATATTTATCAGATGTGGTGTCACCAGTGTTAGTGATGAGACACACCTGTTACCCTTTTAGCAATTTGATTGGCCTTTAACCACATAAATGAAATTCAGTGAACTGCTATTTTAAATTCTAGCAAGAGTAAAAATGCGAGCATGAGTAGTTTCAGTAGAAACACTTTGGTACTGAAAAGCTCAGGATCAGTCCAAGATCATCTTACAGTTTACTACCACATGCACAGGCCTCTCTGGCAGAGGCATGTGGCTGAGTTTAGATGCTCCAAACGAACCTGTCTTACTGGCTGATGAGCCGTTAAAAGCTGCCTGAGAGCAGCACGTACAGCACGTCTGGAAATCCAGAAGCAGATTTCACTCTTCATTTCTTACCGATACAATGATACACACTTCAATAGACGCTCTTGTCTGTTAGACATCAAGAAAAACAGATGACAGTTGAACACAAACACTTTGCCATGACATTTTTTAACTTTCAGAATTTAAACTTGGACTCGGTGAGTCTGAATGTAAATAGCATAGCTCCAGTTTCCAGCTATGCAAAAAGGTAGGGGCAAGTAGCACTGGGTTGTGTGTATGTATGTGTGGGGGAGCGCTTGGCTAAATGAATCTGGAATCACTGCAAAGGCTAAATAACTGTGTTAAACCAGTTAAGCCTTCATGAATACAAATTAAACAATCAGTAACAACACAGATGAATAAAGATTTTAAAAACAGTCACATTCAAATTTTATAAAAATAAAAATCATTTTATCATGGTTTTCACCTCATGTACAGATCTTTTGCACCCATCCCTATCTCTAAAATTTAACTGATTGCATTCCAGTAGCGACATACCAAAAAGGACAGCAGCAATTCAAAAACAAATCTTACACCCTAGAGACAATAAAGCTCTTTATGGTTTGCATTTTTTTGGTAATCTTGCTAATTAAAAAAGGTAAACGTTAATCACTTTGTTATTATGTCGTTGATTGGATTAGAATTCTCCCCTTTTTCAGGACATTCAGACTTCGTGTACTCCACAAACCAGATTCGCAGGGACTGAAACATCTGCAAAGGAAAAATAAAACCAAACTTGTTTTAAGAAGCAGATGTTAATAAAGAAAGTTCAGTCCTCTGCACATAAGCCTGTGCAGTGAGGTGTCATAGCCTTGAAACAGTTTTGGCACAGGAATTATAATTATGGTTAATGATAACAAAGCATAGCTGGTGACTGGACCGTAAAGGAAATGGCTTGTCATACCTATTTTTTTAGGCTTGGGGAGATTCAGGTTGTTCATGATGTCTACGAACTCCTCCAAACTCTTCGTCAAGCGAGGGTTAAACTTGCGCTCCTCAGCAACTGTTGATGCTGTTTGACCTGATATGATACAGGAAGACAGATCAGTATGTCATCTATAGTAACATTGGTCTTAATGTTTACTAAATGCTGAACTTTACTAATCAGTACAAATATATATATTTATATACATCTTTTTGGTAAAGTGCAGAGAAATCACATGGTTCTGACAGACAACTGATAGAGATAGTATATAAATACAGATAATCATTGATACTGTGAAATATTTTAAAGCTAACATGTGACAGACTCTGGGATCCTGATCTTGGGTCATTTAATACAACTAGTAAATGAACAGCAAAATACAATTAATAAGGGCAAATTATTACAAGAGGCATGTGTGAAAAGCTTGTTCATACTTGTATTTTCACAACCACTCTTTCAAAAATGTGTGTACTCTATCAGTTTTAATTACTATGGCTGTAAAAATGTTGGCCATAGATTTAAAATACCAAGCTTTGCATAAACAGTTTTCACAACAGTGACACTAGGATACGATACAGAGATTCATATATGTGTGTTTTCAGCCAACCTTTGTAGTCATGTCCTGGGTAGATGAGGCAGTGGTCGGGCAAGGTGAAGATCTTCTGATGGATTGACTGGTAAAGCTTCTTAGCACTGCCTGGATTATAACACAAATCATATACAAAAATAACTAATGCAATACTGCCCTCTTGTGTTAATCTAGTAGAATTACAAAAAATAAAAGCTTTCACCTTTCCATAATGTGTCAGAAATAACAAATTCAGAAAAACAAGCATTTGAAAATGATTAGGACAAAGTAAAGGGGCATGTCTACCCTGCTGGAAATCTGTCCTGCCACAGCCTCTGATGAGCAGAGCGTCCCCAGTAAAAGCCATGCTCCGATCCCCAGTCACCAGCGTCACACAACCATCAGTGTGTCCTGGGGTCTCCACCACTGTCAGATACTAGAGGAGCGAGGAGACAAAAGGTAAACTCAGGGCAATTTATTTTACCAAGTAATTTTAACTAGAAGTTCTGGACGTATTTCAAATGTTAGAGAAGCAGGCTGAAACACATCCAAGATGTAAAGCATGCATGGGTGTGTCTTTAAACAGGTCGTTACCAAGCTCAAAGACAGTCAGATAAAGACTTAGAATACAATACTGCAGTTTACAGTTTGTCCCCATTGACACATTTAAGCCTAAACACAGTCATTCTCTCTAAATCGAGGGCGGTATGGATTGATTTTATGTCACGCGTTACACCGGTCTGCCTCACTTGTTTTCCAAAGGTGATCTTGTCTCCCTCTGACAGGTGAATATCTGCAGAGGCACCGCTGAATTTTGAGATTGCGCTCTTCAGCCCGGCCAGCCTTTTCTTCATCAGCCCAGTGCTTGTGATGTGGTCCGCATGACAGTGGGTGTTCACTTTCAGGAAGAGAATAAAGGACGATTCATCTCAGGGTTTAGAAATTATTCAGGAGCAGTATAAAAGTTGGTGGAATCATTTTGTGACTATATACTTCATGTTTTTACATTTTACTAAATGCTTCTTATGTTTTATGTATGAAAAACATGGAATCCGTCATAGTAGTGAATATTAATGTATTTTAAATGGAATTGTGAATATTAATTGTAGTCATACTGCCAAGGCCCTTGGGATCTTGTGACACAGTAACCCTAAATCTGCAGTATACAGTTGTCTATGAGCCTGACCTATCAGAGTGCATGGTCTTGGGAATGTGAGGTTTCATACATGCACAACAAAACTACCACAGATGTGACTTTTCCAGGGAGAAATTAACCTTGCTCATGAAAAAGATTGAGCACAATTAGCAACACACTCTGAAAAGTCTGCCCAAAACGGTGTGTTGCAGCACAGGGCTAATTTACCTTGAGTCCACCTATTTATTACAGTTAACTGGATAATGTGCAGTGTGACTGAATGTATTTGTCAATGAAGATGATGGGACACAGGATTTTAAAGCTGTCTGGATTATACGGTGGCCGACACGGTCACAACGCATGCAAAAAACACAACACATGCAAGACACAAATGCGGTATTGAACAAAACACATGCAAACGGAAAACGCTGCATTAACCAAAAAAACACATGCAAGACAGAAACGCGGCATTAAACAAAACAGTTTTGTTTACAGCACTTTGTTAATCGATTCATATAAACCAGACATGGTGTTATTTTTTGAAAGGATGCTAACTTTATTTTAATGCCTAAACCTTTGACCATACACCGGTCCCCATCAGCCTGATGACACACAGGACAAACGGCTGCTGCTGCCAAAGTCAGAGATGAAGTGTGGAGCTGTCTTCTGTTGTCTATTTCAGACTAGCCAGCGGCATGCAGCCCTAACAATGCCGTGTTTTCAGCATTAATGCAATACAATATACGCGTTTGTTTAAAAAGTTCAGTCACACAAGGATCAATCCGATAACCTAGTTTAGCTCAAAGTAAACAAAGTACGCTAACGCTAGCTAAGCCTAGCTTACTTCTGACTGCCGCCGACGTTAGTAATGTCGGCAGTGTTTAGAAACCTGACAAAACAACCGTAACTACAGCCGAACATCACAACCTACAGCGAACCTACTTGTCTGAAGAGTAAGCCTTGGCTCAGCGCCATCCTGGAACAGTACCGTCTGCTGGCAGCTCGTAGCGGGTCGACGTCAGCACCTCCGCAGGGAGAGAAGTGCCCGCGATCGGCTGCAGCGTAGCTCGAGCCCTCGGTGTTAGTTCTGAGGCGAAGCGTGAGAGCCAGAGCCCTGTGAACGGGTCTCGCTTTGTTTATGATCGAGCACATTGTCGTTTTTCTGTATTTTTCTCCCTGTATCACCAGAGAATTATCCCAGATAGGACAAATGCTTTGCCAACCAAAACCAGCTGAGACGCACGGACACACGACTCCTGAGTGTGTGCGGCTCGGAGCTGAGGAGTGGCAGCGTTTTCCTCTCCCTCACATGAAACGTCAGACGTTTGGATGCTAAACTCTCACCATGTGCCAACTATGTCAGTGTTGCATACTTTTAATGTGGCTGCACTTTCTGCCAACAACACTTTAGCATTCTTTGTCTTTATAATTGATAAGATATGGGCTTTTCTACAAAGCTCCCACAGGCCAACTTCCTCATACTGTGTGTACACAGGCCAGATAGGTGCACGACACTCAGTGATCTTGTTCCCGTAGAATTTGCACCAGATTACACTAAGACCTGTTGCTGCCCTCCATCTGCAGATGTCAGCATATAGGCTACAGTGTAACAGCTGTTTCCGGTCCTGGGCAAGAAGACATGGTTTCAGTCATTACCTCTGATGCCTTAGAGCTCTTATAATACATCCATGGTCATTACTATTATACATCCATGGTCATTACTCACTATATACTGTACTATAATAAGTTCATGCGCGCTCACAACGCACACTCACGCCACATACACAACAGGAGCTTGGAGTACAGCCACGGCCTACGTGACTGTTGACATATACTTAAAGAGACAACACCCATATTATCTGGTTACAGTGAAACAAAAGCGCTGTCACCTGATATTGTAAAATGCCTTTTACAGGAAATTACCCAGGGGTTGAAGTAAGGTTATTTTGATTGTATTATTGCTCTTATACTTTATACCGTCAATATGTACAGTATGCACCGAGTAAGATATTTTATAGTTGAAATACAAACTTGTCAGTGCTTGATTGACAAACACTTGGTGACTAATAAGTCTAATCAACATCCTCTGGGGGCCTTGGCTTAATATTTGTAGTTGCTCCTGACTGCAGATTCATTATTTTCCCATCCAGGACTGAAATTATTAGCTAAGGGTGATTTTGTGGCGTTATTCTAATATCTGTCAGATAATGATAATGATAGTGAAACTAATTGGTGGCTGCAGAATAAAACTACCTTATCCCAGGTTTTCTGTGTTAGTTACTTAACCCAGAAAGCCAGAGAGCGTTTTTTTTTATTACAACTTTAAAATAAAGGATGTTTATTGCATGTTATGTCTTCACTCTCACTGCTCTTGTGTTTAATTTCTCTCTGTAAAGTAAAATAAAAGCAAACAGCAAAAAAGTACTTTTTTGTTTTTTAAAAAGGAGGTCGATATGAACTAAAAAACTTTAGGTCTTAAAAGCATATTCTGACAGAGCCCCATCATCAGACTGGCTGCAACACAGGGGATGGAGGAGCTGTTGTTATTGTTCTTTAATGGAACAAAATTCTTACAGTGCTATTTATTGGTTGACATGTAGTTATCTGCTAATATCAGTCTGGCCAATTTATAAGTCTGGTGTAATACATGTGAGCCTGTTACCATCATATTAGTGATTTCTATGTCTCTGCGGCAGCGATATCCACAGTGAGAGGCGTTGTGTTGTCGGGTTGGCCATCCATTTGTCTGTATGGCCCATTCTTGTGACTGTGATATCTCAGGAGGGCGTTGAGGGAATTTCTTCAAATTTTGCACAGATGTTTACTTGGAGTTAAGAATGAAGTGATTAGACTTTGGTGGTCAAAGGTCACTGTGCCCATTCTCGTGAATTTGACTGGTTGGCAGAGGCATACAACTGCGAAGCGATAATGCTAATTGTTCATATTATAATCAACAGTAGAAACAAGCAGAAACAATTCATTTATGTCTTTATTGTCAATTGTCTCATTGTCTATGTGTCAGCCATGTGATGGACTGGCAACCTGTCCAGGATGTTCCCCACCTCTCGACCAGTGTCAACTGGGATTGGCTCCACCCCAAGAGTCAATCAAGGTTGTTGTGGTTTCCTCTGATTTCTTTGCTTGATCCTGCAGCAAAAATACAATTGAATAGATCAATATTCAAATTGTTTCTCCTCCTGAGTTTGAAAATAAAAACAATCCATTTTTGAAACAACTTGTAAGTCATATGTTTTCCCAGTTGATATTTAATTTTGGACAGCAACCAAACAGCTTCTCCAGTCTGTTTGTTTCATATGTACACAGTAACACACTGAATATGTTAATGACTGTTAACCGAACAAAGCAAGAAATACCTGTATGAGCACATCACCCTAGACTCTGAAGAAATGTGAGCGCATTTGTTGTGATTTAAAAAAAAACAACTTATTGATTAATTGAGAAAACAGTATTAATTGATATTGAATAAATCAGCCATTAATTGCAGCCTTAACAGAGCGGGTGCCTGACCGTGATCATGACATATTTATAAAGGGTAGCAGAGGGGACATCACTTCTTATGGTACCTCAATATATCCTTCAGCCCAGCGGATCAGTTGAGTTACTCTGCTGTAGACGCCAGGCTTATTGGGCCGTCCACAGCCCTCTCCCCAGCTCACCACCCCTGCTAGCCTCCAGTCCCCTTTTTCTGTCTGACACACCAGGGGTCCACCACTGTCCCCCTGAAGACACATACAAATCATTTAGCAAACATTTTAGATCACACATCAAACGTGTGCCCAACGGCAACTAAAGTAACACTGCTGATCTATTATAAAGATAAAACAATCTTCATTAACTGGTTAGACAGGTTTATTAGGAAATTTTATGTCATGGAACGTATACCTGACAGGAGTCCACCCCTCCCTCCATGCTGCCAGCACAAATCATTCGAGGAGTTAGGAGCACACCATAGACATTTGGGCTGGAGCAGACAGACTGAGCTATTACCGTCACCTGAGCCTGTCTTAACTCATTGGACACAAAGGCTGACAAAAAAAAAGAACAAAAAATGAAATAAAAAAAGACCAGGCAGTAAATGTGATGTAAGTGGATGAACCAAACTGAGGTAATAAACTAAAGGAGTGCAGCCAACAAGACTAATAAAAGCCTTGCAAACTGAGCAGGCCTCGTAACTTCCAGGGGGCACCCACAGGAGCAAAATACAATGATGAAGTTTTGCTTTCATGTTGTTTCTTCATTTAAAAGTTTAAATTATGCTTCTTCTCAGAACAAAATATGCAAGAGTGAAACTGTATTAAAATATTTCTTTGAACATTTGTGCTTTTTTGTTCCTTTCGCTGATTTTGAATTTTAGTTGGCTGTTGCTCCTAATGTTTGGTTTCATGGGAAAACACATTGATTTGCTGTCAGGTACAAGTGGCACAGTCAGTGAGGCTCTGTGTCGATGTAACACACCTCCTTCCTCGACAGTTCCCCAGCCTGTGATCCAACAGGCCGCTCCGGGAAGAAAGGACTCACTTGAGCGGGGTAAACAGACTGATCGCATGCTGCCTGCAAACAATACAACACTAGGAATTGAGCAAATATGGGAGAATTAAAAGAATAAAAACAGCTATGAATAACATTGAGTCAACTATATGCTAGCCACCATGTTTCACCACAACATTTGGTACAGCAATAAATCAGACATAAGATTTAACAATATTGCTTATTTAACATTAATATACTGCACATCAGTACGTTGATTGTAATTTAAAAAAATCTTTTTCTCAGGATATTAATTTCTATACAATAATGAAATAAACTGTACTGTGGATTTTGAATAATAATGGCATGTTAACAGAAAAATATTTGAGCTAAGCTAAGAATTTGTTTAGTTTAGTCTATATAATTTGAAATAGTTTGCTTGACTTTTAAAAAGATCTATCAAAAAAGTCTAGTTTGGTATCTTGAAAACAAACTCAAGAACCTATTATGCAGTTTAAACACAGTTTGTTTTTGCGAGTCCTGCAGACAGATGGCGCCAGCTCTTTCTTACCTCTCATGTCTATGTCAGTGACAGTGCGCAGTAGGCCCAGGTCATAGTCATTAGTGTTTGTGTTGAACTGGGGGTGATAAAGGACCTGCAGTGCTCTGTAACGTTTCCCCAGAGAGTTGTCTGCGATGTTGACTGTGTCCACCACCACCGACCAGTCAGCCACTTCAAAAATGTTTGTGCTGAGGAAACAGCAGTGTCACAGACAAGTAGCCCCAGTGTGCATTGAATAATGCCTGGTTTTATCTTATGTGATCGTCTACTATGCTGATGCTGTCTGGTCTTGGTATGGTAAAGCAGTATTGTCTTGTACAGTATACAGTATGTGTCACTGGCATAAAAAACAAAAATACAGCATAAATCAATGTGCAGTGAATTCGTGTCCAAGAACTGTGTGTAATTGTAATTCCTAAAAGGTTCATTGATTCCAGTCCATTTTGGCCCTTTGTCAGGTACAAAGGTAACAAAAAAACTCCAAATGTTGTTAATTGCTTTGTTTAGAATGTAATTCCAATTAATTTACATTACTGCTTTGTAAATGCTAGTAAATCATAGTTCACCAGACTGCAATATTTCTGGTTAAGATATTTTTTTCAGGACTATAAACATTTTAATGAGCTGCTTGCAGCCTGAAGTCATGCTCAAAATGTCTGTGGACTCAAAACCCAAATTGAAAGGTTTGCTATTGATAGAGAGCTCCTGCAGAGCTGTGATTTTTTTAAATTCTGCTGTTCTGGATGCAAATTACACTGATTGAGGTGTTTATTTGGTATCAAAATCTTTAAAAAATATCTGCTTTCAACTGAATCCGTTAGCTCAGAAAACTGGACTCAAATAATTTGGTCTTGACATCCCAGTGAGAGCTTTGTATGTACAGCTCTGGCACTTGCTGGGTTCATCTAATTTTGAGCTCCCTGAGTGTAATTACACCTGGCTCTATCAGCCGAAGTGAAAACCATTTGCCTTTATAATCAGCCCCTCTGTCCACCTCTTACTCAACAATGCAGTGAGCCGCAGTGATGATCCAGTGAGGGGAGATGATGGCACCTCCACAGATGTGTCTCTTTCTGCACTGCACGCTGACCTGCCAACCCCACATGTCTTTTGATGCCACTGAACCCCCAACAATACGCCGGCCATCATTGACATATGTGCAGTCTGGGGGGGAGAAAATGACGAAGGTCAGTATGGTGAATAAAAAATCTAAGACAGAAAGTACAGACATGCAGTAATAACTACCCTTATAAAAGTCCACCATGATTGTTGAATTCAGTAAAAATGTATTAGCAGTTTAAAATAATGAATGATTATGCTAGTACTGAAGTAAAACCCCTTCCATGATAAGGCTATTAAACATATAAACACTGCTGCACATACTGTACACACACATTAATGAATATTTTCTTTTTACCTTGACTGATGTTTCCTATCTGGTCCATTGGGTTCTTAGACAAAAAAGGCACCTGAGCTGGGATGCTGCAGTTCCCTTGTACGCCACAGGAAGGCGGCGTTTTACTCAACTCAGAGGGGAATACCAGGAACTTGACTAATGTAAAGAAACAAGAAAAACAGTGGGATAACAAAAAGTTAACTCAGCTAGATAGTGAAGCATTTCAGATGTAAAACCATTAAAGCAAGAAACACCCCTTATACTGCGTGCCCTCATTCTTGAAATAACAGTTTTATGAATAAAGACTCAAAACTGACATGACATTTTACATTTGAACCTCTGCAATTGATGTTATTAATAACACCTCTCTGAGCCTGCACATTAGCAGGGACTTCATTGTTTTACAGAGATGCTGCTGTTTACCATAGATAGTAAACTGGTATGGTATTAATCAAAGATTAAAAAAAGACAAAGAAAACTGAACTTGCTTAGTTTTATTATATCCTCAATAAAGTGGGACAGGTCTTTGTGTCCTGAGTGTTAATGCTGTATCAATAGAATGCTAGCACACTGTTAACTGGGTCACTCTGTACAAGTACAATCTGACAGGTACAGTATGTTACCTAAGAGAGCAGTGGTGATGGCCAGTGTGATGAAGATAGTGAAGCCCACGATCAGGAATAGATGACAAGATGAACAGCCTCGAGACTCTGCATTTACAAGAAAATAAACCAAAGCAATAATTCTGTAAACTGTGTAATGGAGGGGGTTATTTTTCAAAATAATGAGTAGTGATTTACGTAAATCAGGTTCCACTGCAAAGAGTTAAGAACCGTCTTAGTAGGCTAAGCAATTAATAGTGTGGTAATTTGAGTTATGTTACTTTTGGGAATATAATTTAAAATCTTACTTAATTACATCCTTATTAAACAGCATGTTATCAAGAGTCCAGCTTTATCCAATTAATCTCCATATAACTAATTGATTTGCATAATACAACCCATTTTAGTAACGTGTAAATTTCAGTTTACAGTTTACAAATCTAGGCTACCTTACAAACTTACTAACAGCAGGTGTAAACAGCGCCAGATGTATAGCATCAACATACTTGGAATAACTCATTTTATGATGCCTTTTAAGTTGATAAGACAAATTTTATAGTAGACATGTATGCATTGAGGCATTCAGGAGCTACAGAGCAACATTAACATTAATAAGGAGTCTTGTTTTGGCCAACATGGCAACAAAAACAAAACACTTTCTCTGTTTTTGGTTTCTACCAGCTCCTGAGGAAAATGTTTGGATGATATTTGCAGCATTGTTTTCACATTGATACATGATGTCCTGATACAATTTATCAATAGAATAGTTCATGATAATAGAGCACTTGTAAAAATCTAGTAATCATTACCAAGCACACCAAATAAAGTTAAATACAGTATATAAAAACACAGCACGACATGTATTCATAACACACACCACAGAGGAAGAGAATGCCTGACAGAAATGGTGTACTGTAAGAAATATCCTGAAACAATAGACTGAGCTGGTCAGCGTAGCATTCAGAGGCAAACTGCCCACAGTCTTTGGGCTGTCACTGTCAAGAGCTTCATCATCAAAGTACTACATTCAGGGGAAGTGAGTCAATTTAGGACAGAACATATTCATAATATGAGGTACAGCATGAGCTGCCTGCAATTTCTTGTAGGTAAAAAAGTGTGAAATCAAGTTTATGCTTGACTGACGCTGGTGTAAGGTGAAACCTCTTGTTACTGTCATTTTGATAAAAGCCTCAGGACAGCATCAAGCAGAAGCAGCAGGACATATGGAAATGTTTTGGCAAATCTCAGGGTGAGTGAACTGTGAACTCTGAGAAGTAATGTATGCTTCTTTGCCTAAAAGTTTGACGTTACAGGATGCTACATACACTATAAATGTACACTATACACATACTGCATATACCAAACTAAAAATGTGACCATTTTTCTCCATATATAAAAATAAAGGAGAAGCTGAGGTGCTGGGTGGCTTTACCCTCCTCTACAAGCCTGAAACCGAAACACAGTGGATATGCTAAAGCAAATGAGAGACAATGAAATATAAATGAAATCTAGTCACCACTGCCATAGCTCTTAAAAAGATATCTGATAGAATCAGTAGTATTGGATTGAGGTTAAATAGCAGTAACATTAGCACAGCATTATTCCACATTAAGGCTTTACTTCTGGGGCTTTAAACAGCTGGCTCAGCACTCCATGTTTTATAGAAACCTGGAGAAATATTAATATATCTATTGTGCCCATGAACTCATAAAACACTCTGGGACTTTGGATTGAGGAAGGAGTTATTATTATTATGTTGCAGAGGCTGCTGTCTAAGGAGAGGCTGAAAAATAGCAACCGACGCACTTTAACTAATGTTAAAGAGCAGTGCGCAACAGAAGCAATCCTATATGGACAATACTAATGATAAATGAAGCTAGAACATAGGATGCTATCAACAGGATCTCAAAAAGAGACAGAGCAAAAGTGTTTCTAGCACCTCTGAAAAACTGGCAAGGCAGATTATATAGTAGGAGGTGTAATCTGCTGTTTATTATAGTTACTCTAAAGGATAAAGGTCCTGTATGTCATCACTTGAAAAAAATACCTGGGGAACAGGATGAACAGACTTGTTTGTGCAGTGTGTGTTTAGTGCCCATTGCATTAGTGAAACAGTCATGTAACATCTTTTATGATTTGAGAAAATATTCAACTTTTTAAATAGGCTGTGGTGTGTGGGTTTTTAATGCATCCATGGAGATTAATTATCTTTACACAGCAGATCAGCTTTTCAGTGGTGCCAAACGTACGAGTGTAGATCATTAATGCGACTGCTTTCACTCAACTCTGTAATGACTAAATAATTTAGCAGTCTGCTGACTATTAGAGATGCAGCAGCAGATGATCATTTAGATTTAAAAGCAGCACTGACAAACACGGGTAACAAACACCAGTAATCTTAGTGTAAAGTGTCTACATGAATTGTATGTTAGATGTAAGAATTCATCTTTTGGACTGAACTGTGCAGTTGGATGTTACAATATCACCTTGAAATACAGTGAATTACAGCCTTAATTGTCTGACTAGAGTTATATGGTCCCAACCAAACCCACCTGATCAAGGAACTAATTTCTCTTAATTTCCTGTCTTGATGCCATTGATTAATGATCAGCCTTCTTTATGAAAGCAAAGGAAACTTCAGTGTGCTAACACGTACATGGTGGCCCACCACCAGCATTTCCTGTGACCTTGTCAACTCGCCCTAGGTGATGGATATTAAAAAAGCTGAAAATACTACCATGAATAAAAATCCAATTAGCTTCATAAGAACTGAATGAAAGCAACACCTATTAATTGTACTGACAAGAATTTGTGTCTTTTGTTATATGACAAAAGAGCAATAATTGCAAAAGTATAAGTAAAAGTTGGATTCTGTATGAGCATATATATGGCCAATAGTATGTGGACAACCATTTTTGCACATTTTGTGTAATTTTGGCTTACTTTTACAAGCCCGGCTGTGCCCACATAATGTTACCTTTTGTGTGTTATTTGTGCTTTAATCATGAGTGTTGCATGGCTGTTTAATGCTGCAGTGCTTTAGGCCTGGACTGGTTTAAAACAAAATCCATGCCAGGTTTGACTTTTTCTGGGCTTCATCAAAACTCCTCTTTGAACCATCATCCTTAATTTTTTACTATACCTGGCTCTTCATTAGGCTGATCTTTGGGTAATATGAGACTCACTGATCCCTCCTCCAGTGGTCCTCCTTGATGCAGACAGGGTTTTTTCATCTTTGTCCTCTGAGGGAGCAGGGGAAGAGGATGGAGTTTTTGGAAGTTGAGGCTTTGATGTTACTTCAGAAAAAGATGGAAACTCTAGGAATATGTTTCCATTAGCTGCGGGTTTATAGTGAGGTAGGATTGTATGGACTGTAGTAGGAACCAGAGATGATACACTCAGTACTTCACAACTGTTTGGCCCTTGAAAGGATGTCGTTGCCCAGAGCTCAAGAGAAGGATAGATTGATGCAACTGGCTGCTGTGCATCAGAAGTGCTGGTGCTGCCTGTCTGGAAATCCATACTGTTCTTGTCATTGGTAGCAGTCACAAAACGTAGTGCGAGTTTACTGTTAGGGTTAATGTTCTTCAGGTGATATTTGTTACTAGCTGTGTACACGTTTTTGTCTGGAAAAGACCGGCTAGGGTTCAGACATGGCTGAACTGAGAGGAGAGATGTGAGGTGAACAAAAACCCTGAAACCTTAGCTGGGTCCTGCAAAAGAAACAAAGACAGACTCAAAACATGAGCTTGGAAGAATGAATCTGAAAGTAACTTTGAGAAAGAGCTGATATTTTTGCATAATATGCAAGTCTAATGTGGCCTTCTGTCTTATACTGCTCAAAACCGAACTTTGTAAATTGCTTCTTTTAAAGCAGATGTCAAATGGATTAAGCCTGTTTAAGCTATATGTAGCTTTAAACTGAATTTCCCAAGAAAAATTAAAAGGATGACATGATTAACATCCAAAACAAAACAAAACAAAACCTAATCAGCTGTTCTGAGAAAAACACAAGTGAATCTAAAAAAACCTGAATCCATTAGCAAATGCAAAATAAAGCCACAGATGGTAGTTATACTGCTTCACTTGTTTTAACTTCTTTTCATTACTACTAACTGCACAAAAAAGACAACTGAGATTGTACACAGTGTACTACACCCTCCATGACTGCCTGACATTATCACATCACTGTACTTTTTTCTGACTCTAGACACTTTCTCAAGAGCTCTCACCTGAATGTCAGCATGTCTCATTTTCACTTGTATGCCTGGAATTATTCATCCGAATGTGCCTCCTCTGCTTATCAAAACAGCTTGTGCCACAGCAGGGAAAAGAAATGCATCACTGCCGCACCATCACTGACAGGACTCCGAAGATGTCGGCTTGCTCTGGTGCATCATTAATCCAGAGTTATCTTCCCCGTCATCATTCAGCAGTTTGTCACTTGTTCTTTTTTGCATTTCTGCTGCTCTCCTCCCCGCCCCTCAGTTACCACTTAATCCTTGCATAGTGTGACACTCTTTAGCACCTTCCTCCTTCCATTCTTCTCTATTTCCATTTCCAACTTAATCGTTATCCGCTGGTCAGAAGAGGCGAGGCTCCAGCTGTCAGGTCAGTAACAGATATGTGCACTCATGTCATCGAGCGCCTATGAAATATGCATGGAGATAATTGTGAGCTTGGGTCAGAGTTTAACAACAAAAGGTAATGTACACCACATGACTGACTTGCTCCCGCTCACAAATACTGAGAAACATAATGGCAGCAGACAGACACACATACAGTCAAAGAGTTGAATTTCACATAGTTGAAAGATGGATCCAGTAATCATAACTCTTACTATGCATCTGTAGAGGCACAAGTGTGTGAGTCTGTGTGTTTATGTCAAGCCTTCTTGGTGATACTTTGTTCATCCTATAATGTTACCACATCAGACAGCGTAAGGTGCTGGCAGTGCTGAGAAACCTTAGTCAAGGTGTTACTCTGCATCTTCTAATTTATGCTGAGTTCACTTGGGAGATCAAACCTGTTGGAGGAGAGATGATTTTATACATTTGTTATGTGTGAACATGTAAACCTGCAGGGAGCTAGGAGTGCAAAACAAAATGACAAGAGGTTTTCCCATAAATATAAACAAAGAGGAACTGAAAGCATGTCATAAACTCAGTAAGTCAAAACAAAAACTCACCATTTCTTACCTAGTAAGAAAAAGTCAGGGGTCATGTTTTTATTTTTATAATTCACCTTGAAGCAAACATTAATGTGTGTATCACATTTGATGGCAATCCATCCCATGATTGTTGAGACATTTAACTCAGAACCATAAATTATGAACTCATGGTGGCACAGGAGGAACATTTTAGATCAGCCAAGTTAATGACATACAGCCTCTGAGAAACATGAAATTTTGTGCCAGTCCATCCACTCAGAAAATTAGTGGCAACAAATGACTGACTTACCGTATCGGCCACGTGAAACATTCTGAAATATTCTGTTTTGATTTTGTTTAGTCTGTCAAAAACAGCTGTGTACTACTACACAGTCTCCTGTGTTGAAGTCTTAAATACAGTACAGCATGCTTGCTAGTTATTTGTAACATGACCATGCTGTGTCCTTCATACCTGCTCATGACACTGAACAAATAAATAAAGCATGGAGCCTTCATTCGTTCCGTACTGGTGTGAGAGCCCTTGTTAATTCCAGTCACGCTGACTGGCAGCTTGCACCAGTCCAACCTGCTCGAATACACACAGCTCTGCCAGCCTCTGCTCTCTGTGGTATCAAATATGAGAGGAGAGATGGACTTTTAGTTCAGCTTCTCCACAGCAACCCTCACAGTTCAGCAACACTTGTTTTACCTTGTGCAGAGAGGAACATCAGTAGGGTTTACTACCAGGAAGTGGCCAGTATCAGACAGGAAGCCAAACTCTTATCTTCCCTGTGATAGTAACTAAAGATTCAAGCACTCGGGTGCCAAAAGGTTAGACTGTCAGCTGTGACTGAAAGTTGAAGATAAATCGAGTAAGTGAAAGCAATGATAAAGGGTTTGGAGTTTTCCCTCATTTTCCCAGAATCAAGAGCTTTTTTCAGGACATACACAGCAACAGAGCAAGGCAGAGAAATGTGGCATGTTTGAGCCCAGTCAAAAAAAAAAAAAGAACAGTATCTAAACAATACATTTGCATAAAGATAAAATATATATAGTATACAATTTACAATAACATGTGTTGTGTGGGAGAGAGAGTATGAGTATTTGCGTTTATGTGGGTGCCAGTATGTTCTTCGAGTCCCGGAGTTCAGCAGTCCGATGGCTTGTGGATAGAAGCTGTCTCTGAGCCGGCTGGATCCAATGTTTCTGTACAGTGTCCCTGATGGCAGCAGTTCAAACAGTGTGTGACTGGGGTGGCTGGGGTCCTTGATGAGTTTTTCAGCTTTCCTTATGCTCCTCTGAATGTAGAGCTCCCGCACAGAAGGCAGTTCAGACCTGGTGATATCTCGAGCAGACTCATAATTTACTTTCTGTCCTATAAGTGCTGCTCCCAGACCAGGTGGTGATGCAGCCAGAGAGGATACCCAGTGGTGCACTTGTAACAGTTACAGAGTATCCTTCTGTCCATGCCATACCTCCTCTTCCTTCTTTGCACTTCTCACCACTGACTCGATATAGGATAACCACTTCAGGTCCTTGCTGATATGGACCCCAATGAACCTAAAGTTGCTGATCCTCTCCAAAAGTGTCCAATGGTTGTGGATAGGATTATATGCTCCCTGTGCCCTCCTAAAGTCCAACACCATCTCCTTGGTCTTTCTACTTCAAATAGCAAAATATCTCTGCATTCAAAGTCCAGTAATCACTTCATGTTAAAGAAATTAGTTTCAACACAGACTGAAGTGAACTTGAACTTTTAATGGGTCTGAATGATATTAGAGTACAAAAATGATTGTGATGGGATTTAAAACAGTAGTTTGACATTATGATGCTGTTTGCATTATTGCCAAGAGTTAAATGGGAGGATTGATAATGATGTCATAGCTGTTCATTAAATGTGAAGCTGGAGCCAGAGGACAGTAAACTTAGCATAAAGCCCGGAAACAGGGGAAATGCTAGCCTAGCTTGTGTCTGTCCAAAAACTAAAAATCTGTGCTCCCAGCCACTTTTACCCCTTGGTTTTGGTATGCATTAAACAAGATATAATGTAATACTGTGATTTAGAAGTACTAGTAATAAGATTTTGTTTTTACTTTTGGACTTGTTTCTAACCCAGTTTCCAGTCTCCATGCTAAGCTAAGCAGCTGCAGCTTCATTTTTACTTAACTGAACAAACATGAGACTGCTGTAATGTTAAACTATTCCTTTAAAGGAAATATCACATGGTTTCACGGTATGGTATAGTACATATAGTAGATAACACTTTTCAAAACAAGGAAGTGCACTCAAAGCACTATATATTATTTCCCATTTACCCATTCATGCGCACAAACATACACACCTATAGAACAGCCACCAGGAGCAAGCTGGAGACCAAGGGCACCTCGACAGGACTAGAGAAGCTGGAATCAAACTGCCTGAGTCACATCCACCTCAAAAATAAGGAAATAAGTGTGAAAATAAGTGCAAATGAGGTTAAATCAACTAAAGCAAGCTCTCTCTCTCTCTTTCTTCCATGTGTCAGTGGCACAATGTTTTTATGTATGAATTTCAAGGTAAACAATAAAACAAGAGATTTCATGGGCACTGCTGCAAGGGAATCATGTAAATATTCGACAACACTTAATTAAATCTTTTGGGAAAGGATGGGTAAAGCCCACACACACATACATGTTCACTGCACATTTTCCAATCTCATTAAGGACGGGAGTTTGCACCATATTGGCAGAAAGATTGAGGAAGGTTTTGCATAAAACAAGGCCCATCTGCAATCACAGGAGGAGCTGGGAAACGTTGTTGTAGAGAGGGACTTCTGGACTGCCCCTCTAAGCTTGCTACCCCCATGACCCGACCCCAGATAAACAGTTGGAGGGATTAATTGAAAATCCTCAGTATGTGCACAGAATCCTGTCTGAATGCTAGCTGTTGGCACTGGGACTCTTGGTGCGTTTTACTACCTCTGTGCCACTGTAGAGGTAAAATGCTATTTACAATCCTATCAAGAACACTGCTTGTATTGCTTTGCAGAAAAATGTCATTTTTTAAATTCTACTTATTTTCTTATATTTTACTACACATTCTCTAAAGAGCATCTTGGGTAAAAGAAAATTTCCCTTGAAGCCAATTGGATGGCAATTGCTTCAAAACACAAATAAAAGGAAAATGTTTTATTATTATTTTAATTGGTCTGTTGTGATCCCTATTCAAAGCCAGTAAAATGATTATTTACAAAACCAACTTTTACATGCATGGACTTACTGAAAGAAAAAAAAAAAAAAACGGGGTGAAATCGCTCTTCGCTGTCTGCTAATTTCATATGTGTGTTCATTCACCAAATCAATGATTCTACTTTAGCTGCTAGTCACATAATAATCTGTGAAAGTTTTTTTTTTTTATTGCCTGGACTTATTGCAGTCCTTTGAGAAAGACGAGCACATGCGAATAAATAACAAAATCCTGAAGATTACAAGAATATACAACGAGAGTCTGACACAAATCAAGTGTTTGAGTGAATTGGAAAAACAGTTACATCTCTTGCAGTCAGGATGCTGTCGAGAGATTTGAGATATTCCCTTTACAGAGTTTATGTACACAGCACAGTGCGCCTTCTTCTCCATAAATATCTTCAACTTGATTGTGTTTCTTGGAGCCTTTTTTTTTTTACTTCACACACTCTTTTTTTGTGATCATCTGGTAGTTTCTTTGTGTCTTTCTTTCTTTCTGTTGGTTATATTTCTCTAGTCTTCAATTTTCTAGAGAGCTTGTATCATGTTACTGTAACTCATCAGTCATTCTGTCTATTTTTTCATCCACATATTCAGGTATACCAAAACTTTATTACCTTCTCCTCTACTTCTGATAGCTCTTAAATCAATGTCATGTTCTTTTTCCTGACAGCGAATGCTTCTTGTCATTCAGCCTCTCAGCAGTGCAGGATCTTGATGAAAGCTTTGCGAAACTCAATGTTGAAAGTAGTGTAGATGACAGGGTTGACAGCGCTGTTGAGGTACCCCAGCCAGGTGACGGCGCTGTACAGGGTGGGCGAGATACAGCAGCTGTTGCAGTGGGCCTTCAGGACGTGTGTCAGGAAGAAAGGCAGCCAGCAGATGATGAACACACCTTGGAAACAGGGAGAAGGTGTGGATCAGAGGATGTGCTGACATGTACTAGCACAGCATGCGCACTAACACTTTCCTTTTCAATTTTTTTGGAAAGTCTGGCCAAACATTTGACAGGTAGCGCATGTGGCACAACTTGTGCAGGGACATAAATTATGGAATATCCCACCAACTTTTGTATTTGTAATTTGCAACTGAATTGCGGAACTGCTGAAACAAGACTATGATAGACAGACAGAGGGAGGGTACTTAATCAGTCTCAACTGCAGTGTCACAGCAGCCACGTCGCATAAATCACAGAACAGATGGGGTGGACCGGAAAAAAAATACAGTCAAATGAAAACTCATCAATCATGCGGGACAAAAAATAATGCTGTGGATGTCAAACTTTAATGAATAAGTTTCTGTGTAGCTCATTGTTTTCCTAGATCTTAAGTCCTTCTTTAGCCAAAGGTTGTTGCAGTTTAGAGAGTTTAAGTGTTTAAAAATATATAATTAGTTTGTTTTTTATAATTAGATTTTAAGCCTAATTCTTATATTGGCTTCTTTCACAATCCTTTTACAAAAAGGTCCCCATATTTTCCAGCTAATTTCCTGAAAATGTTCCTCATAATTTCCTAAAAACTATGCCATTTAGCTGTAATTTACTAGGATATTTCCAAGACAGGCCTACACATATTTGTACTAATTAAAATGGAAGCAGAGAAAGTGTTAGTTACTCAGTACCCACTTGTTATTTTGGAAGCCTTTCTAGAAAACCTGACCTATTTATTGACTTTTTCCACTTAGCTGCTACTTACTTTCCTAGCCTTTTCTTAGAAACCCAAATATAGTCAATATCCACACACATACAGGCACAGTGAGACAGGATAAACATATACACGGTCCAAAGACAGACACTTGAACAATTAGTTTTCTGCTCACCAAGCACAATAGCAAGCATTTGTGTGGCCTTCCGCTCCTTCTGTTGTGACAGCCTCCCTCTCACCCTCTCCTTGGTGACCCCCCATTTCTCTCTGCCTCCGCTGCGCTGCCTCCATCCCTCAAGTCCCCCTGTGCCGTCCTCGAGGGTGGGGGGGCGAGGTATCAGGGCTGATCGTGTCATAGTTGAAGGAAGAACCGGGGAAGGTCTGACTGAGATGGACAGGGAGATCTTTGCCTGTCCAGAGTGGGTGGGGGTCCGGGGAGCAGGGTCAGGAGCCAGGTTCTGCTCTGTCTGAGGCAGAAACTGACCCGGCTCCACCTCGAGGGGGTGAACAACCGCCTCCTTTACCAGAGTCTAATACACAGGGAGGAAGGAGGGTGAGGCAGGTGGGTAACAGGGGATAAAGCTGAGGATGCCTGATTGTAAACATGAAGGATGGATGAAAAAGGGGACTTGACATTTATGAAAGAACAAAACAAGAGGGTTAAGAGAAAATGAGCAGAGCATCACTGCAGAGGCAGCAGATGGTATGTAAAAGGCCCTTTGTATTGATTTGGTCAAAAAACTCACCACCTTCTTGCGCTGCGGAGCTGCAGTTGCTGGCCTCAGGATCATGGTGCACAACTTCACATCTTCTGGTTGTGTGCATTTGTTCTGAGAGGGAAGGAGGATGCACAGTGAATAGAAGAAATATTGGAAAGAAGAGCTTAACCAATACTATCCAGGTGTCCCAATGTAATGCTGTTCCTGTTCTTCCCAGAGCCAACAAATCATGGCCTTTGTGTACTGATAACTCAAGAACAATTTCTAATTAGTGTTTTTGTTTCATCTACTTTAAAGCTACAGTATGTAACTTAAGGTAGCACTAACATCAAACTCCAAATCAATCCAGTCCACCCAGCACCTCCTCTCTACTATGATCTGCTACACTCCACCACACTCTGCCCAGCTGTTCAGATATTCATTCAGAAATGAGAATGTAACAAAACTTACTGATCCAGCAGAAATAATTGAAAATCTCTGATAGGTTAGAGACGTAAGTCCCACTGAAAACCTTTTAGAAGCTAATCTCTCTGCACTGCTGCCAGTGCTGTTCAGTGAGTCTGGGTCACAGGAGGCTCCGACAGCACGTCTCCACATTAAGACAAGGTCTGGAGCAGATCTCTACAACTAAAATATTTGAAAAAAGATACATACTGTAGCTTTAAGCATTGAGTGAATGATGTTTAGTTGGAAAGAAAATGTTTCCTATGAAAATGACTTAGCCAAGTTCAAAAGCAATTTTTAAAATATGGGTTTGATAGAAAAGCTAACATTCACTGAAAAACAGGTCTGGGAACTTCTGAGCTGATATTTTTGAGCATAAAGGTTATAGACTTGGTGCAGTGGATCAGAATCTATCAATGCCATTTTTATGGAGCAGGAATCATCATCAGAAAGGTTGTTCTCAGCTGCAGCACGAACCTTTCTGTGCCGATGACCTTCTCCTGCCTCAGCTGCACCTTGTGTGTGCAGGCTATGTGTACGTGGTGGCGCAGTGCGTCTGCCTCGTTTGCGCAGCACCACACAGATCTGTGCATACACCAGCAAAGTTACAATGAAGGGCACATAGAAGGAGGCCACAGATGAGTACACCACGAAGGCTGGGTCTGCAAAGCTGCATGTGGTACCTTCTCGACTGGCTAAAGGGGGGAAATGCAGAGAATTAATTGATACCACTCTCATGCTGCACATTGCATATAAAGGCAGCAGATGATTAGCTGAGTGTAGTATAAAGGTTGTAAATGGGGGAAAGAATAGTCTGGCTTTGTCAGTGGTTTAAAACAGTCCTTTCAACTGAACCCTGCCAAGAAGTAGTCCAGCACATACAGTAACTGCTTGCAAAAGCACAACTTGTCATTTCTGCTCTTTAGGTTTTGCACAAATTAAACAGATGAGATACAGTGTGCATTTTATAAACTTTGGACAACCACAAACTTTGACCTTGGAAACAGTACTGTGATTATAATCCTCTTACTGGAAACTTTCCTCGATCTTTCTGCTGCATCTTTTGACCTTCAGCAGTGGCTATGGATGGTTCACTTCTTGGCTTCATAACATTTAAAATCACAGTCATGTGAAAAATTCCCACTGGACATGTGTGCTAAGAATTTTAAATCAAACTAGATTTCCCATACACCTGTATTTTCCTGTCTCAGACCTTCAGTTGCATTTCCCTTTTTTCCCCAACAAATCTTCACCTGTATATGCTTTTGAAGTTCATGCCAGGGCACGTAGAAGCTGCCAATCTCAGCCACAGGTTTTTATTAATTATGCAATGATAGCAGAACACATTGGCATTATTGCTGTTACATTGCCTCACACTGTATCTCTAAATATAATCCAGTCAAAGAGATTCAAATCAAAGAAACTCTTGCTACAACTAGAAGAAGACTTTTTTTCTTTTACCATTTCACACCAAAGCCAGTAAATTTTAAAGGAATTTTGACACAAAGTTCACACTGCTGACAACTGCAAAATGTCTTGACAGTGCTAAGTTTTGAAGGCATGGACAGGACCAGAGAACCAAAACTTAAGGAAACTATCACTGACCTTTATATAACACTACTCTGAAGGAATATAAACTGCACCAAAAAGTGGACGGCACAAATACATTGGTTAGCGACCTTTGATACACACTGCACAAAACCAAGTGGTTTAAGCTTCACCTCTTTTTTAGGGATGCATGACTGAATTTCACGGTGCCACTTCCTGGACAGAGCTAACACCTAGAATAATAAGTGTGGAGGAACTTGAGAGGAGAGATCAGATGTAGCTGTTACCAGTGTTGTTGAGTCCAAACAATAATGGGCAGGAGATGGCAAAAGAGAGGAACCACACCACAGCAATCATCACCGCCACCCTTCTCCTGGAGCTGTACCTGGTGTTGTAGAGCATCGGCATGGCCACCGCAGTGTACCTGCAGCAGTACGTACACAAAGAGATACCTAACACAGATAACACATTAGCAGGCCTCTCACACACTCACTTGTTGTGCCTGTATTTGTACACACAAGTGCACAGTGACCACATACTAATACAGTTTCGGGCGTCATTATCTCCTTTTCATATTCACTCATATTTTGAATCAAACCCAGCCACATGATTTTAAGACCAAACAAATTTGCAGTTTCTCTTCTTAAGGACAAAAGCCGTTACTGCTCGTTTGACAGCCACAGGGACACAACCATTTAGAGCAACTCATTGTCAACTCACTGTGACCCAGGGACCATTCTGAATACGAGGTAACCTGAGGACCACTGTTGTGGGGTAGATAAACTGGACTACCACTCTAAATTACAGCTGAGGCTGTTAAGTGTCTTTAGCTTTACAAGTATTTGGTCATAATCCAAGGTACTGGACAAAGTGAAATCCTGACCCTTTTGATGGCGCTGGACAAAAAGTCAGAGGTTGATCAAAGTTATTCAGAGAGAGTTGTATAAAAAGGAGCCATAGCTGTGTTCACACTACATGCTGACACGCTATTTTCACAAACCTGATCTTTTCACAGATGTGGGAACAAACTAAATCTGATTTTTTCAAATCCACTGGGCCACTTCTTTATGCATTCTTAGATCTGATTGATACCATGTGACCGCTGTCAGATTTGTGTGGTTTCTTCACTGTCTCACGGCGCTGCACATGCACCTGTCACCTGTCTTCATCATTCAGTGTCAGCCCCTCACAGACCAGAATAAACATGAGCAACAGCAGTGACAGGGGTCAGTGGAGAGACTGGGATATTTCACAGCTGTTGAACATTTATGAAGAAGCTTCTGATCAAGCTAAACTGGAAGAAAGATTGTAACTGTGCAATTTGACTTTCATATCATTACATTGTTATTCTTGTACACATGCGGTTCACATTTCAGTTAAATTCGAGGATATGTGGCAGTTTAGGAGCTCAGCGATGTTCAGATCCAAACTGGATACATGTTACAAACATAAATGTGAACCGTTGACAAAAAGTTTGCTCTTACAAAATGATTGGACTTGAGCATTAAGTAATGTGAACATTGCAAATTAAACTTGAAAGAACTTTAAGCTTGTAGCTCATTTTAAATTACAGGGTACAAAGCCCAGACAACTTTTTGACCGCAGTATATACAGTCTACAGTTTGACAAGCAATAAAGACTCCATCCTTAATTACTATACCAAGTGACACAAGCCTAAATTGGTTCAACCTCAATGTGTCACTTTGCCAGAGGAGTTGGGATGCAGCTGTAGACTGCATGCCTGCTCAGTGTCTGGTCACATTCCTTTGGACACATGAAGAGGGCATCAGGTGCAACACAAAACCATCAGTCATAGTCTCATTGATCCCCAAACAACAAAATGCACACTGAAGACTGCAGAGGACGCTGTGAAAACCGCAGCACGAACCTGTCATTAGCTGCTGGAACACAAACCGATAACTAGAGCGTATGGGGCTCCTAACCGGCTGCTCTGTGACAGCTAAATGATGGATGCACCTTTAAAGGTTTTTAGTGGATGTGTGTGTAACTGCAAGCATGTGTGTTGCCCGCTCTTAGTTTAGCCCAACCTGCACCAATTAAGACTGTAGTGAGTACGAAGTAAAAAACAAACAAACCAACCTCACTGGATATTGAACTACATATTGATCTGCTGTCTTTTTTTTTTTTTTTTTTAATTTTGGTCTTCTTTCTAAATGAAAATCACTGAAACTATTTAATCATTAGCTTCTCTTTTTGAAAGCGGATTTTGCAGAGAGAAATACATTTTCAGAAAAGATGATGAGTGTTTTGTTAAAAGTGCAGCAAAGAGAGTAAACTAAAAGTAAAGTAAGGACAAAGACGACAGTGGAAGGAAGAGCCCACCTGTCGATGCTGATGGCACAGAGGTTGAGGATGCTGGCGGTGCACATCATGACATCCAGGGTGAGCAGGATGTCACAGTGGATGAGACTGAAGCGCCACTCTCCCACCACCTTCATCAGATCAAAGTGATGTTATGGTTAACACACATCTCATTCATTTTCATTTTAACCTCTTTAATTTCTCAACTCATTTTGTACATTTTGGCCAGTAAAATATGTTGGAACACTGGTGGAGCAGCATTAACATGATAAGGATAATCACCTTTATTGGCCAAGTATGTTACACACAAGGAATTTGTTTATGGTACAGAACCAAGGCAGCCATCTGCGGTGCCACCTCAACCGACAGCTCTAACCATCGGGGGCAACAGGGGGGATTCAGTGTCTTGCCCAAGGACACTTCGACACTTGGACTACAGGCACAGAGATTCAAACCTTGAACCTTTTGGTTGGGAGACGACTGCTCTACCCAACGCACCACCACCATGAATCAGGCTGCATCACTCTTTGCTACATAACCTTGCTCTTACCCTTGACAGAGTGTACTTGATAATTAAATCCTTTTTTGCTCCACTGATCCTCATTATCATTTGCTTTTGAAATGACTCAATTCTCGCAAGAATTAAAAATTTTAATGTCCAGTAATAACACAGGATGATGTGTTTGTGGCTGCATAAAGAGTACTGACTGTAGTAATCAGTATTTTACAGTACCTTGTAAAACTGTTCACAGTTTGAGAGAAATGGCTTAATTCTCATTTATCTAAAAGCTGAATTAATTATATTTAATTGTAAGTTACATTTTTTTTAGTTAATTGGGTAAACTTCTTTGACATGGACTTAACCCCCTTACGTGAATACTGGCTTAAATAAGAAATAAAAAATACAACACTAACAACAGCTAATTAGTGCTGAATAAGAAATAAACTAAGAGGAAACTAATATTTTCCACAACTTTCTAGTTGATTATTTTCTGAATTCTATTTCGACCGACATTCCAGTACACAACAATATTCAGCTGTCACGAAAAGCAGCACACTTCAGAAGCTGGAACCAGAGAACATTTGACATTTTGGCTATCGGTGATCAATCTAGTTGGCATTTTGATTAAAACTCAAAGTCTTCACAGTTCTAAAACGATTAATTAAGAAAATGCCTGACAGTGAAAATAACTGTTAGTTTCAGGGCTAGATGGTTGAGGAAATCTGATTACAGCAATAGTATTAAATAATAAATGAAACCTGAAAAATTGAAAACACACACAAGCATGCACATACCTCCAGGTAGACGCCCCAGGGCATGACCAGCGTGGCCAGCAGGAGGTCGGACACAGCCAGGGAGACAATGAGGTAGTTGGTGGTGGTCTGCAGAGCGCGCTCCCGAGACACCGCCATGCACACCAACACATTACCGAACACCACGCAGAAGATCAGGAGCACCAGCAGCACGGCGTAGAAGTTGTATGGAGGAGAGGAGGCCGACGGAGCGCTGGTGCAGTTGGAGGAGGTCAGAGGGGAGGAGATGGGGTAGGATGTGGCGGAGTATGAGGGATCATGGGTAACAAGGATGGAGAAATTGTGGTCAAAAGGTGAGAGAAGAAAAGAGGGAGGGGAGGCCTCATCTGACTCATTGAGCAAAGTCATGATCTCGCTCCAGTGGACATGGTCAGGCTGAAAATTGATGGCACAAAGACAAAAAAGAAATGTCCTTCAGACCCTTCATGGCCACACTGTGCTCTCGATTCAGCTGTTCAGAGTAGATCCCACAATGACTGACTTTTGAGTCTGACAACAGAGGAAGATAAAAGGGAAACAGTTACTGTGCTATAAGAACTTTTGGTCTCAACTCAGAGAGACAACACAGCTGAACACCACACACAGGGCATGCATACAAACAGCAGAGCACTCTGCCTACACACACACACACACACAGGTACATGTCAAGGTCACCTGATTTAATCTAAACCACTGACTGAATCACAGTTTAAATATCTCTTAGTTCTACAGAGGTTGTTTTTGGCTCAAAAAGGTCGACTGCAGGGAAGTAAAACTCAAAGTCGAGGACGGGAAAACTGCCAGTGTCACCGCGTTCGTAGAAATAAAATGAGTTTTTAATGGGTAAAAGTTCTTGTTAAATTCTGAGCTAGTTCAAACAGTGGCCAGCAGCTTGGTTTCACAATGCTCTGTTTCAAGATAACCTATTTCCACTAGTTGTCTGACCTCTTCTTGCTGCTCTCTCCAGGTGGCTTGGTATTAAGTGGTTCCTGCGTGTTCCTGTGAACTAGTCTGCTGGAGGAGAAAGGTTTATCTGGTCTCACTTTACAATGATTTTGTGTTATTACAGCTACTTTGGCAAACAATCATGCTCTAAAATGTAACTTACATGAGTGTTATGTAGAAAATTGAAACCTCTGGGCTGCGAAGTGAACAATATTGTATATTCAAAATTATGTATCAGTGAAGCCAAAGTGGTAGAATTATATTTAAGTTTTTTTTAAAAAGGTAAATGAAACCTTTTATGGAAAAACCATAAACAGGCAAAACCCTATCAGTTATTCAAAGCTGGGGGAGCAGTTTAATTTAAAACTTATTTATTTAAGATTTAAAACTGTGCATTGTTTACATCCAAGTTTATTGGTAAGGTCTGTGTCCCTAATAAATATTTTAGTGCACTACACTGGTGGATGTAATGCATGATAGAAACAATCTGAAATACACTGTGCCACAGTGCCACTAGTGGTCAAATACTCCAAAGGGTATTTATAATGTATAATTCTTACTTCTATTTTTTGTTAGACATTGCTGTAATTCATTGTTCTTTGGGGTATTAAAGCTCAACTTGACTCATTTACAGCTCATGTGTGGCCATTGCTGAGGAATGAGAGTGAGCTAAGGACAAACGGTCACTCACATAGATGTTCCCGAGCATGAGACTAAACCAGTGTATTTGCCCATATCACTGGATGTTTTTCCTCACCATCAGTCCGAGCTGACCGCAGCCTCTGTTCCTTGTAAAGGAGCAAACTACTACTACTGTTTTACAGTAACATTTGAAGCCTGCAGGGGTCGAGTGATTCATGAGCGTGAGCGAAGTCTTATTTTATTCAGAAACAGATTTGTGTGGTCAGGGAAAGCTGACATTTCCAGAACTGCTGATGTGCTTTTGCAAAAGCTAAAACCAGTAAATTAGTTTAATAAAAAAGTTCACAGCAGGAAAAAGACAAAAAAAAAAAAAAAAAAAGCAGGATGACAATGTAATTCAAGAATCTTCTTTAATCCAAACTTCTGCTTCAAACTCACAATCAATAACCTGCTGCTGAAGGTTTGTGTGTTTCTACAGAGGCTGAATAATAAAAAGTGACAAAATATTTTTCAGCAACACAAAGTTGACACAGGTGACTCGCTCTCAGTATCATTCCTGTATTTCCTGTCAATTCCAACATCATGAATGCACTTGGTGAGATTTTCACCATCTCACATTCCTGCCTCTTCTCTGCAATTATATCCAACACATCCTAATAAACATAAGCCTGAGAAATCAATGAACTACCTTATCTTGCACCGCTGGCCACATGACCTGAAGACATTATCCTCTGTGGCACATATAAGCCTATTGATTTCACATGGTAATATAAAGTATCAATTTGACTAATGAAGAACGTCTTTATTTCGAGCCCTATTCCTTGACCAAAAATCGATATTTTAGGTTAAATATTAACCCACTGTTGAGATTTCCTGCCCAATGACAAACAGGCAAACAAACATATAAACTGATCAGAAAAATATTATCTCCTTTGTTGAAAAAAATTAACAAAAACTAAACTAAGACTAAAACCAACACTAATATGTTGTCCCAATACTAAAACAATCAAAAATAAATAGTAAATTAAACAATGTATTCAAGGGTTAGGTGTTAACCCTAACACCTAATCCTTTCCAGAGAAAGGCCAAATAGAGTGCTGGCCTAAAGCGTTCCAGTTTTCTATGGCTATTGCACAAGTTCACATTTGACTGGTGGCCACTGAAACTGTGGTTGCAAACAAGACCATTGTGAGATAATTTCTGATATACACTAGAAATGAAGAAAACTGTTTTCTAGTCATGTCTGTGGAGCAGAAATAACCCAATGAATCTCACCCCAGTTTCCTTCATAAATGAGTTCAAACACGTCAAAGAGTGAGAGTCCCCAAAGACGAAGTGCCAGACCAGGGAAAAAAGAAGCTGTTAGACAGTAAAATATAACTTGTTTCAACTCAAAAAGTTGAGTGAACGGGCTGCCTTAAAATTCAAACTCAGATCATTTAATTAAACCATATCAGACACAAATTATTATTCCTAGCAAATGATTTTCACAAATCTTGAAACAAGTCCAGATGAGCAATTTTAGTTGCTTAAACCAAATCAGATCAGAAAATGCTTATGACCGCACTGACAAATGACCTGCTTTATTGTTCCAGTATGACAACCTGTTGGCCCATTTAGAGGGATTCTATAAAAGCGACTCCATAAAAGAACAACAAAACTGCTTTCTATACTTTTAAAAAAAAGATGATTGATTCAGATTTCCTACACTTATTATACACTTGATACACTGATGGTGTATCAAGTGTATAATAATGAGACAAGCACTTTATCAACAGCAGCTAATGTGGAACTTCTTTTTTTTTTAAACAGAGGATTTATTTGCTCATGAAACTGTCTAAACAAATAATAATTACTGAAAGCATGTGAGCAGAATAGAAACCAAATGCTTTAAGCAGTTTAAATAAAACTTTGCTGTGCGTCCTGCTACACAACCAGAGCGACACTACCAGCCGTTTTTATGGATTATATCATCAGTTACCTTGTAAAACAAGGTGCAATGAACCGTACTCTGAGAAGTCAACTTAATCTCATACATGGCCACCAGAGTAAAGCTGCATTTACAACTATTTAAACTATGCATTTCTCCGAGGTCGCTGGTACAAATGTCACTGAATTTTCTAAGATGTCAATCTTAAGGTCAGATTTGATGAGATCTCATCACTGTGAAGTCGTGCTCGAAGCTGTTTTACTGTGTCTGCACAACCTTTCCTGATGTGAGCATGACAACTTCTCGTGTCAATGTGTGGAATGCTGTGAACTCTAATTGAAGTGATGTGTAACTCTTAAAGGTATAACTTTGAGCCTGTATAGCTGTTCAGATTGCCTTTCATGTGTTTACTCACCATAAATGTCACTTATTCTCAATTGGCAACGTTAAGGAAAAGAACATTTATGAGTAACGTGGATGAGCGATGGTTCAGAGCAGAGTCTCCCCCAAATTTTGTGGAATGAGCCTGATTTGTTAAAATGCTAATGTTCAAAAAGATTAAACTTCCGCAGTGCAGTGAGGTAAGCAGTGGAGAGTTAGAGGATGGTGGCTGGGCTGGAAACTACTCTAATTAGTTTTATGTTGCCAACCTAATGTAAGACTGTTTTACTTGAATAACCTTAATACAGTTACAAGTATGTAGAAATCAAAGTTTCCTAACCCTTATAAAAGTTTTTTTTTTTTTTTTTTATCAACTGTTATGTGGCAGTTTGCCAACTTGTATTGCTGGAGCAGGTCCACAATATTTAATCAGCATTTCAGAGTTTGAGCTCATCTGTCAAAGTTTCATAAGACTGCTGCCCAACAGCCAACAGAGCGAGCCACAGTCCAGATGTTTTCCAAGGTTTCAGGTTGAACAAAGCAGCTGTTTTGATGCATCCTTTCACAGTGCTGCTCAGTAGAGCCTTCATTTACCTTTTACATCTTCATTATGTGGAAAAAGTCTAACTAGAGTCTGAATGATGCAGAATCAGAACATCATCAAAAAATAGCCAGAACATTCTAATTTTTTGGAACTGAGTTGATTTTTAACAAAATCCAAAATAAAATTCACAATTCACGACAAGATTCACGATTTTTATTAGCCATATATGCATAGACAGACAGTCCAGGCATATAGGAATAGAGGTGCCATATTATTTAGATTATTTCTATTTCTTTTGTATCACATTTGATACATGGGGCATTTTTGGTGATTTTGTTTTGCTCAGAAACCTCACGTATCAAATATGATACAAATGGCTTTATAGGGTTAAGGATTCAGATACTTTGGCTCTTTACAGTACAACCTCAAATAGAGAATTGATAAAAGTGCCAGTGTTTCACCTTTACTTCATCTGCCACCACTGCTGCCTCAGGCCACGTCTCTGGTGCATTGCTTTTCCAACCTGCATCTTTAAAGATGAATGGGGTCAAATGCATAAAGATACTGTATTGTGTACTCATGAACAACATGAATAAGCAGATCCACATTACAGATGTGAAAAACAGCAGAATTAATTAACCTTTGCCCTGATAAAATAGAAAACACCAAAACTATCCTGCATTTTAATTTGAGGGGGAAAAAATGCTGTTTTAACTTTCCCCGAGGTCACAGGGTAATAATTTGTGTTAGATTTCATTACAGTTTATGACCTTATTCCATTTAATTATGAACTCACCCTTTGCTCTTTCAATCTTTTATTGTCTAATGCCCCTTTTGTCCTTAATCTCTTTTCAGCAACATACAGTACACCATCATTCATGCCTTCATTCTTTCCTCCTCTCGTCTATTCCCCTGCTTCTCCTCATCTGTAGCTGCTCTATGGAGACACAACACGTGACAGGTCTATTACATCCTTGGCCTTCTCTCACCCTAAGATCAGTGGAAAACAAACAAAAATACTCCTTCTGGCTTTGCTAAGCGTGTGAGCTGGACTGCAATAAAGATTTATTTTTTTCAGTTAGAGGCAGAAATGAGTTGCTGACCGCTGGCAAAGATGTGGATGTTCAGCTGCGGTATAATCAGCTCGCTGCTGAGATCGGGCAGAAAATCTTCACTGCTGCATCACATTTCTCAGCTCAGTTTCACTCTCAATCACCTCAGGATGCCACATGTTCTTTTTTCCACTAGATTTTAACAAGCAGCCGATCTTTTGTAACCAAATAATATTGCAGGGCTGTGTTATTTAGTTATACCAAGCATATCTCCAAGTAATCTGATGAAAATGTACCTGCTTTTTAGAGCAATCAGAGGAAAAGCAATAAAACACAGAGGAAACCCAACAGGGTTTTGGCTCAAGAGCAGCCCTTCAGAAGGACATCTGCTTAATTACATGTGTTCCCCGTGCTACTTGAGCTGCATAACCCCCATATGGTAATTTACATTAAATTAGCAGCCCGTGCAGAGTTGTGACACTTCATACAGTAAATAACGTCAAGTGTTAGTAAGTAAGGGAGACAGAAATTAAAGTCACCACTTCACATCATTAGACACAGGGTGTCCTAGTTTAAATAGAGCCAAACTGAACAAAGGGGAAGTAGACTCGCTGCATCATCTGTTAAAGTGAAGGAAAGAAATGGAGACAGATAGTCAATACATCCCTAGTTCCATTTAAACAGCCCCTCGAATAAAGCCTCTTCCAAATAACTGATTAGAGATTAAACAAGCACAGAGAGATGCAGAGAGGGAGTGAACACACAGTAAACATGACATATATGCTTTCTCATTACTTGCTTATAACAACTTGCAAAACCAGCAGGATTTTCTCATAATTTGTGAATTCCTGATTGATCGCTTAACAAAAGGGAATCACTTCAATACTGAGTCACATGAGGAGACCTCAAACCAGGGGCACTGTTCTGATCCAAGCACAAGCATCTTTTATGCAAGAAACAATTTTGTATCATGTCCATCTTTTATATAAAACGAGAGACAGCAGCTTTTGGAAGTCGGCTCCAAGTGATGTGTGCAAACTGGAAATTAAAGTAGAATTAACACACCATCACACATCGACTGCTGAGGAGACCATGCCTCAGTGTGGTGTGTGAAAACAAAGATAACAGCAAAGCCCTCTTAATCCCCCTTATTTGCTGTTAGCCAATTTGGTACACATTCAACATGAACAATAATTGGATACATAACACAAATGGTATTAACACTCAAGGTGTCGGTATAATAAGGGTTAGCTGCTAAGTGTGACGCTGCCAAATAAGTTGCTTGTGCCTTTCTAAATTTCAGTCTATTTGGGGGATTGGAGCACGAGTCGAACGGTGCTTCAGTTCCCTTCTATTGGACTTATCTTACAAAAAAGCCTCCAGACAAAACAGAATGGCACGTTGTAGCCAGAATGGGTTTCACAAATGAGACCTTCATAGAAGATACGTTATCTTTAACACGTTCAATGAACATAAGGGAGAGAGGAATGAGGGAAAAAAAAACCTGAAGTGAATTAAATCATGGGTCCAATACACAACATTATGTCCATTTAGTGTGTCCTACACACACACACACACACACACACTCATATTGTGCACTGCTGGACCTCCTCTCTCTGTCATACATTTATTTTATCATCCATGCTACCACAGGTTTTAATAGTTATAGTTCTAACTGTAATAGCTTTATTATGAAAGAGTTCATGTTGTTTTTAGCTAATGTTTTATTTATTTATGTCCTATTGTATTTTGGTAGTGCTGGTTGAAAAGGATGAGATCTGTGAATTTAATGAATCTTGAATCTGCAGTTTATCCTCCCATTATGTTGAGTCTGTAAATAGCCAATGACCATAAAACATATATACGTTCATCATCTTTAACTAGTGCACAGTTTTAATATAACTTAGCCACATGGTTGTAATCTCACTTGTAATAATGATATTGATATTGTAATACATGATATTTATACCTGCTAACTCATTTTCAAACACAAGCATGCCCCTTCAGAATCAAATTAATTTTTTTATTATTGCAGGTTAGGAGTAGAAAGTTGTTGATCCGTTCACAACATCAGCAAGAACAAGTGCAACAAAACTATCATTAAAAGATTAAAAGGTCATATCAACAAGCTCTCCACAGAGAGGTTACCACTTCTTTAAGCAGTTTAAATCACTTACCCTCAGATTCAGCTGCTCAAATTCTAGTCTGACCTCCGCTCAAGAACACCACCAGGCAACAAAGTGGATGTCAGGCTGCAGCATCCAACCATCCGTCCAACTTAGAGTCAAATCTCCCACCTTGACCTCAGTCAGCCAAGGCAGTGGGTGTGTGGTCCCCACACAAACACACATGTGTAAACAAAAACTGACACAGAGCACTCGTTGTATAGTTCCCTTCCTCTCCAGTGTCAGCACTGCAGGAGTCTGACAGAAGAGCTGCGGAGGAGGAGGATAGAAACAGAAGAGAGGAGGAGAACAGGAGAGGAGGGGATTCACACACAATTTCAGTTGTTTATACTTGTAGGAAAAAAAAAAATCAACAGAGAGCCTCAGCCAGAAAAACAAGACACAATGCAATGCTTTTGGCTGACATGGAAATGTTACTTTTAATTATTAAAGAAATATTTTGACATTTTGTGAAATATGCTTATTTGTTTTTAGATGGAGAGTGATGAGACGATGCTGGTTCTTTAATAAGGATACATCCAGCAGCTGGTTAGCTCATTAGCCTTGCACAAGACCTGGAGGTGGCCAGCCTGGGAAAAGAAACAAAATGAAAGTCTCTGCTGGTTGACTGGTTCTCTTGTTTTGTCCTTCCCATTTATATCTGCGAGGCTAGGTTAGATAATAGAAACAGCTCTCTGTGCAGCACAGATCAACAGCAGCACAAACTTCAGCTGCCAAAATGATCAGTTGAACCAACACCTCTCTGAAAAGCGACCGAACATTCTCACCATCATAAAGGCAGGATCTAGGACTGCTGGGTTAGACTGCATTAGTGTTACACTGGTGTAAGCCAACTGATAAACCAATAAATGATCTTCAACAGCAAAGCAGCTGTCTTGAAGGCTACTGGCAGCTATAAACAGGGGATGTGAGCCACACAACATAGATTTACCAATGAAAACAATGTCAACACATGAATTCTGGGTTGGGGTAATGCTTACCAATGAAAACAATGTCAAGTAACACATGAATTCTGGGTTGGGGTAATGCATCTGTAACTGACTGCTTTCCTCAATTTGTTCAGGTTTATCTGAAAATATGATTTTTGAGGATCCACAAATGAATAAACTGCTTGTGCTAACAGCAACTCATAACAGTGCCTTCATAGATGTTACATGCCTTGTGCACTAATGCATTTTGACTTGTCAGACCACAGGGCAGTTTCCCACTTCACCTCTACTCATCTTAAATGAGCTTGAACCCAGATACAGAGTTGTATCTGGAGGTTGTGTACATATGATTTCCTATTGATTGATTGCATGGCAGAGTTGTAACTTGCATTAGTGGATAAAAACCGCTATTCAGAGACTTATTTCAGCACTGTCCCTTGCTGACAGAGATCTCAGATTCTCTGAATATTTTGCTATTATGTGCTATAGATGATAAAATCTCCAAAATCTTTGCAAATACTGAAAAATGTTATTCTTAAAATGTTGAACTATTTTGATGGACCTCACCTCATCCTTACTTTTGAAAGGCTCAGCCTCTTTGACCTGATGCCAACTCTATATTTATATATTTACAGTCCAAAATCCCTTAGGAAATCTTGTTTTATTGTCTGAAAAGATATAATCAAAGTAGATTTGACCAACAAATCGCCTCCACCAACCAATTTCACAGGAAATGGACAGATGTGAGGTCACTAACCTTGACCTTTGACCACCAAAATCTAACCAGTTATTCCATGAGTCTAAATGAACATTTGTGTCAAATTTGAAGAAATTCCCTCAAGGTGTTCCTGAGATATTGCGTTCACAAGAATAGGCCGTAAGGACGCCTGTACAACCTGAACACATAATGCCTCCAGCTGTGGCTATCACCGGCATGGAGGCATAACAAAATGACTCAAAGAAAGGAAAAGTGGCTATCAAAAAAATCTGAAGTCTTGTAATAATTTTAAAAACTATCAGCTCTAGAACCCACTACTGTCTGCCAGTGAAAACGAGGACTGACACTGCAGAGTCAAACAATATTTGGCCATCTTAAGACGATTATTAAAGTTAGCAATAAGGTTACTACTGGGCAAGGTCACTGCCAGGATTACCAGGAAACATAAAAATGCTAAGAGCAAAAAATAAATCTGACTGAACAGATTGAAGTGACAAGAACGAGCCGGAAACTCTGAACAAAGCCAATCTGTCCTGAAGGCCAATTTCAAAGCAGCCCATTCTCATTGACACACACACACATTCTAAAGAAATACAGTGCCTTGCGAAAGTATTCGGCCCCCTTGAACTTTGCGACCTTTTGCCACATTTCAGGCTTCAAACATAAAGATATAAAACTGTAATTTGTTGTGAAGAATCAACAACAAGTGGGACACAATCATGAAGTGGAACGAAATTTATTGGATATGTCAAACTTTTTTAACAAATAAAAAACTGAAAAATTGGGCGTGCAAAATTATTCAGCCCCCTTAAGTTAATACTTTGTAGCGCCACCTTTTGCTGCGATTACAGCTGTAAGTCACTTGGGGTATGTCTCTATCAGTTTTGCACATCGAGAGACGGAAATTTTTGCCCATTCCTCCTTGCAAAACAGCTCGAGCTCAGTGAGGTTGGATAGAGAGCGTTTGTGAACAGCAGTTTTCAGTTCTTTCCACAGATTCTCAATTGGATTCAGGTCTGGACTTTGACTTGGCCATTCTAACACCTGGATATGTTTATTTGTGAACCATTCCATTGTAGATTTTGCTTTATGTTTTGGATCATTGTCTTGTTGGAAGACAAATCTCCGTCCCAGTCTCAGGTCTGTTGCAGACTCCATCAGGTTTCCTTCCAAAATGGTCCTGTATTTGGCTCCATCCATCTTCCCATCAATTTTAACCATCTTCCCTGCCCCTGCTGAAGAAAAGCAGGCCCAAACCATGATGCTGCCACCACCATGTTTGACAATGGGGATGGTGTGTTCAGGGTGATGAGCTGTGTTGCTTTTACGCCAAACATAACGTTTTGCATTGTTGCCAAAAAGTTCGATTTTGGTTTCATCTGACCAGAGCACCTTCTTCCACATGTTTGGTGCGTCTCCCAGGTGGCTTGTGGCAAACTTTAAACAACACTTTTTATGGATATCTTTAAGAAATGGCTTTCTTCTTGCCACTCTTCCATAAAGGCCAGATTTGTGCAGTATACGACTGATTGTTGTCCTATGGACAGAGTCTCCCACCTCAGCTGTAGATCTCTGCAGTTCATCCAGAGTGATCATGGGCCTCTTGGCTGCATCTCTGATCAGTCTTCTCCTTGTATGAGCTGAAAGTTTAGAGGGACGGCCAGGTCTTGGTAGATTTGCAGTGGTCTGATACTCCTTCCATTTCAATATTATCACTTGCACAGTGCTCCTTGGGATGTTTAAAGCTTGGAAAATCTTTTTGTATCCAAATCCAGCTTTAAACTTCTCCACAACAGGGGGCTGAATAATTTTGCACGGCCAATTTTTCAGTTTTTTATTTGTTAAAAAAGTTTGAAATATCCAATAAATTTCGTTCCACTTCATGATTGTGTCCCACTTGTTGTTGATTCTTCACAAAAAATTACAGTTTTATATCTTTATGTTTGAAGCCTGAAATGTGGCAAAAGGTCGCAAAGTTCAAGGGGGCCAAATACTTTCGCAAGGCACTGTAGCACACCGTATCATGATGATGCTATTTTTGGTTTTTCTGCTTCCAGACCTAAACGGGTTTGACCTTGCACTCTCCATTTTATGAAAAGCAAACTAGTAACTGATCCAAGGTTGTAGGAAATAGTGCTAACACACCTTACACTTGGTGGTATGTGTGTGTGACTTTACCTTGCTCCAGACGTTCAACACAGACCGATCCTTGGCTAATTTAAAATGCACCCTTTCTGGGAAGCCAAACCTTTTCATCTTTCCTGCAGTCTCTCTCTCTCTCTTCCTGTAAGCACCCCTCCTTTCCTGTGTCTTGTTCACATTTCAGCTTTCTAATCCCCTTGACTGAAGGGCAGAAGATCCAGAGGCTCCAGGGTGCAAAACAGAAGAAAAGTAAATGAGATGGAGAGAGAGCTAGAGATGAGAGAAGGAATGAAAAGGAGCAGAGTGCCTCAGGAAGGGATGAGAGCGACTAAGCTCAAAGACAGCTTAATGAATTAAAACAAGAGAAATAAATGTAATTAAAAACCTTTTTTTATTTGGACAAAATAAGTATTATAAGAAAACAAACTTAAGACTGAGACTTAAACAAGTGGCTTTGCACAAGCAAAGCAGTCAAATCATGCAGCAAGCCCAACATTTCCATGCAACTTAAATCGAGTGATGCAAAACACCGACGCTGGTTTTACATCCCCACATTTGGTGAGCCAGTCCATCTCTTGTAATACTTGACATGAAGAAAATCACAAACTTGGACTTATCAAACTTGAGCAATACACAAAAATCTATGGCTTTCCCACTCACAGCATTTAATCAAATAAAAAGCAGAACAAACAGTCTCCCAGTATTCATTTTAATTTCTAAAGCTGACACATTTCACCTGACTTTGACCCGGTTTGATAATAGTGTACATGCTGCTGGCTGTCACGACAGGCTGATAACTCATTTCCAGACGGAGCCTGAGGAGCTGAGGTGAGCGGCAGCAAACTGCAGCACAACCACGGACAAACTCAAACACGCCCTGGATCAGAAAGTGTGTGCATTGCTCCATCAAACCAAAGAAATTAAGAGACGCATTGATGATGATGTTACCTTGTGCCCAAGCCAGGACTAAAAACTGTATAAAAGGCTAATAATAACGCTAAACCTAATCCTAGCATTAACCTAAGCAGACACCATTTAAATAGACATTTTCTCAGCTCAGCCAAAAGGTGAACATTTGTGGAGAAACTTGGATTTTATAGAAACTGGTTTAGGATTGAAGATGAATAGCAAGTGTTATGTCATTAATGAACTATAATTGCTTTATTGCTTCTTATAAGTGAATCTGAAAAAGAAAAAAATGTCCGTGGCTTTCCCCATTGCTCCTTTTTCAGGATTTGAAGTGCGATTGTGTGTTTGAACACACCTTTGTGTGTACACACACTGTGCTGTTCAGGGGACAACAGAGTAGGGTTGATAGGGGAGCATCTTTTGTCGTTCATTGATTGCATAAATCCATGCGGGTTTGACAAAGTTCAGATTGCAGTTGTCCATCAGCGCCTGTGATGGCAGAGTGAAAGCGAGAGGAACAGAGAGAGGACATGAAGTGCTTTGTTGCATTACAACTACACTTACAGGAAGAGATAAAAAGCCTTTGAAAAACTGGAAGTTTGGACTGTATAACCAAAACTTCTCTTTCAGATGCTAACAAAGCCACAAACGGCTGAAAACCAATTCTGATTCACTGACAAAGAAACACTGTTGAAATAGCAAAGGGAGAAAGAAGACAGGACTCAACTCACATCTTCAAAAGAGTCCTGCCACCCTTCACTGGTCACCACAAACTGCACCTTCTCTGTCATGTAGTCCTCGATCACTCTGGAGCAGAGATAAGAGTGTGTTTTACAAAGACTTAATGACAAACATTTTTCTGTTTTTGTGCTGTACATTTCTACAAACAACTGAAGACGCAGCAGGCTGCTGCTGGAAGTCTCTCTCACCCGTTAAAGGCAACGATGTACCGCAACAGTAGGCGTCTCTCATTGTTTGGGAATTTGCCGAAGAGGAAAAAGTGCTTTCCACTCAAGAAGTCTGGAAGAAATGAGGATGACAGAAGAAAGGAGAAGAAGAGTGCAACTGATACTTTGTGAGGGATGTTCTTGAAAGACAGAAGGCCATCAATTACAATGTCTGACGAGACTGGGAGGACGTCTGTTCCTGTGACAGAGACAGGGGGGACCTGGTTAAATGAACAGAGAGACATACCTGGTAGCTCAGGGATGGGATGGTCCTCTTCAGCCTCAGCATCTGTGTTTTCATCTGTCGACCCCCCATATGGATCGTCCGCCTTCACTTCTGCTGCTGCTTTCTTCTGTCTGCTCTCCTTTTCCACTCTTTTTACGAAGACAAAGAAAGAAGTCATTACGTCTTTTTTTGCTAGTGTGTGTTTCCACGCTCATCACTCAAAAGAAGAAACATCCCTGTCCCCGATTTTCTAACCTCCCTACTTTGCCATATACGGTATTTAAGTAAAAAAATGACTGTTTCTTTGTCCAATATTTCAATATAAATACACTCCTGTGTCTAACTAACCTCTGCATTTCAGTGATCATCTTCAAAGTGGTCATTCTCAGCGACTGTCTTACGAAGGAAAACTACAGCCTAACAAATTTAGTGCTATTATGTGATTATTAATGAAAGGTCGACTACAATCAAAGTGGAATTATGAAATTTACATCAATTTTTTGTACAGGAGCAACAACAGAGCAAAGATGGACTCAACGACCATCTTGTCCACGTTGATATTATAATCAGATCACTGACATTGTTTTGTTTACCTCTGCAGCTCGTCCTCCGTGTCCACACCCGATTCATCGTCATCATCACCTCCTGTGAAACAAAGGGTCAATTTGTCGATAAAGTACAATTTAATTGGGAATCTGATATGTCTAAGTTAATTAAAACTAGGCTTGTGTATGGATTATGGGCAGCTAGACAAGAACAGACAGACAGGGCCAATGTAATGCAACTTAAATTACCAGCACCTCACTGTGGCCCTGATCATAAAACTAATTAAATATGATAATCAAATGTCAACAAGTTCAACATGCTTTAACTTTCTGGTCATATAGGGGGAGAATTTTATCTTACTGCCAGTTTTATGCTTTCTACAAGATACTGTGGAGCATAGTTCTGATGCAAAGCAGGCAGGCAAACATAATCGTCAACTATTCCCATTTCCATACAATCCTGTGTTGCTGAGGGGAAGAAAAACAGCCCTAGTTAAAGTGCCATGGCCCCGTCAGTGTTTGTTGGGTCAGTGTTGTGTCGCCTCAATGATGCGCCCCAGCACTTTACATCCGGCCTCGCATTAACATAGAAATGAGAATCATGCACAAGTCCCTTCACAGCGATTTTCCTCCATTCTTGCTTCTCTCATCAAACAGCACCACCAGTAGCCTATGCATGTAGTTCTTGTCCTTTACACAGTGATGCTGTCAACTCGTCCTTTTCCACTTGCTTCATAAAGGTGATCTCTTGTGTCTAATCCCTGGGCTTTCACAAGGTCTCCTGCCCCCTCTCAGTTAGCTCCACTGCTACCCCAGGCCCCCATTCAGTTATTGGCGCTAATGGAATGAATGAACTTCACTCTCAGCCACTTACAGTTCAGCTTTTGAATCTTTACAGTACAGATATGCATATAGAAAGTGACCAGCTAACATGTTTGCTTATTGATTTTGGAACGTGAGATTTTATGTTAAATGTATTCTCTGCTATAATGATCAGGGACATGTTACTAAATTGTAGGGGCTGTGAACCTTCTGGTATGTTGTCTCCTGCTCTGCAACAAAATGTTTACTCATCTCTATTATTTATTCTTGTTTCAATGTGATTGTAGTGGGTGACCCTGCAGCAGTGTAGCAAGTAAAGTTAATGCAAACCTGGTTCCTCCACATCAGTGGAGCGAGCATACTCCTCATCATCCTCTTCATCCCTGTGTTTTTCTGGTGTCTGTTTGGGGGTGACCCGTCTCTCCTGCTTCTGTGGAGTCTGTGAGAACAGCATGCGCAGAACGTTAAACCTGACCGGCTGTTATAAACTGGGGGAAAAGGATTTTTTTCCCCCCCACTTTAAAAATAAATTTACTTTTGTGTTCATTTCCTCATCACTCTGGTCCTCCCCTTCCATTTCACTCTCTGAGGTTGACTCTGCTCCATCCATCAAATACCTGGAGGAAGACAAAAAGGCAGTGAACAAAATGTGTCAGGATGATTAAAGGCCAGAGGGAAAAGAACATCTGTGCAATATAGCTTGCTCCCAATCAATTTGACTTGTACAGTGTGTCACACTGCAGCGGGCATCTGTCAGACCATAGTGAACTGGCAGCAAGATGTAAAGCGAATGCAATATTTTTCACTAGATTGTCTTGATGTTTAAACCATTTGCATGATGGGAGACAAGAATAAAAATATGTCTATCAATCAAATTCCAGAACATCCCAGGTTTTTTCTTCAGCTATTCAAAAGACTTTACCAGCAGCTTGCTGCTGGTAAAGTTCAACAGTGGTGGCTGTCATCCGACTTGGCGAAGCACACAGTTCTTTATTGAGAGACCACAGCACTTCATAGGAAGTCAGATCAATAGCTAAAGTATTCAAAGGCTTAATTCAACATATTCCCCCTTCATGAAGAGCATAATGTTAGCCGCCATTTTTATACTGTGACTGGTGACACTTTCTCGACATGTGTCAGTATGCTTTAAATGTGTTTGCTAGATTCTGGAATAAGTAATTGCTAAACCCATTTCCAACAATCTTGTCCAACATTTTACAGTAAGCTACCTGACAAGTACCCCCCAACCCCGCCCAGCGGCTGGCCGGTCGTGTTGGGTTGAGAAAGTAGGCAGAATGTGAACCTTGTTCTTAAACTCTTTATTTTTCACATTCTTCACCAATTTTTTATATGTACAAGTGAGGGCCATACTGCCAATGCTTTTTTTGTTCCTCAGAAATTCTGGGACTAATTTCTGGGTCCAAATACTGCATTACACATAATATTGAAACGTTCCTTGGTATTAGTAATTATCTTCGACCTTTTGATGCACACAGGCTTGTTCCTTTTTCTCAGAGAACCAGCTATTTCTGATGCAGCTGTTAAATCTTATGCAATGATGATCTAACCAGAAGAGTTTCATGCAGATCCAAGGTGTAGAAGAGCTCAAACTAAGTCGCAAAACATTGTCTATGGAAAAAAAAAAATGAACTGAACTTCATTCCAGATCTAAGGAGACCAAAATAGCTCCTCCCACTTCACAGCTCTATTCACACCCCTACTCGCTGAATCAATACAGCACTCAGATACAAGATTCCTGTGACTTTCACAATACGTTAAGAGTTATTTTAATAATAAAAAGGTTCAGAAGTTCTTCATTTGCATCTAAATACAGATCTGAATCAGAACACACAGTGACACAATCAGGGATCAATGATTGGCCTTTACAGATGCTTTGTCTCAGAGTGATAAGAATTACTGGACCAATATCAAAATCTGATCACTTGCTTTTTGGCCCATGGTTGAAATTTCCACAAAAAATACTTTAAATTCAATTTATATTCATTGTGAAGAATACCAACAAGTAAAGAGAACTGCAAACAAAGCCCCCTTGGCAACTAATTAATCAAATAAAACATGAAAAATAGAAGTGGGAAAACAAATCCATAAAAAATGTAGAGAGTACATTGCAAGAATTGGGAGCAACTCTATCTGTGATGTTCTCTGCAAAGTTTAAGAGCATGTGGGCAGAAATGAAAAGCCAAATGTTCCTATGTATTCCACAGAGAACACACAAACAAGGAAGGTACAATGAGGATGTGATATTTCTCTTCACCCTCACCATATACCCCTCAAGGTGCTATATCTTTACCTGGACACTATCAGCTCAGAAGCATGAAGTGCAGAGAGCTGAAATACGAGTGCTAGTGTGGGTAATCATTTCCACAGCTCAGGGAGACATTTTATCGACTTATGGCTATTTGTTTCACAAAAGTCAGTGTCCAGGAAATCAGAAAACCAAAAAAGACACTATGGGGAAGTCATGCATCCGTTTCTTATAACGCCAAGTGTTTTTACATCAAAAGCAAACGAGCTAAATCTGCTCTACTTACAGTTGACCAGTGACATGCACGGTTTGTTTTAGAGGATAAAACCAGTTAAACCAGAGCCAAATCTATTCTGATAACTGATTAATGGTTCAAGCCACTTTTAAACAATTAACTGACTGCAGCTGAGGGTTGATCAGTCAAAACGTCTGCCCAAAATCATGACCTCTGGGAAATTACAATGGACACTTGTTTTTACTATTTTCTGCCTTCAATTAGACAAAATCACTATTGAACAAAATAATCAATAAATTAATCAACAATATAATAATTGTTCACCTGACAGCGCCTATCAATGAGGTCATGTCAAGAGAACAAAATAATGCATTTAAAACTTAAAATGCAAATGTTAGAGGAGGATCATGACAGCTTTTCCCCCAGTGTGTTACCTCTAATTTATGGTCAGTATCATGTCTTTACCTTCAGTTACATGATTGCTGTGATAAGGCAGTGAAAGTACAGACTGGTAGGTAGGTAACACAGTATAAATGTACATATGTTAACTAGGTGTAATAATAATTTTCTGCATTGACTTGCCTATTGATTCTTTGATTAACTGCTTAATCTACAAAAAGAGTCAAGAATATCCATAAATGCTCCCAGAGCTGGAGGTGACATTTTCATACGGCTTCTTTTCTCAGACTAAAGGTATTCGATCTAGAATTATATTCAGTTAAGCTGACAAAAACAGCAAGCCCTCACTTGGGGTCAATTACTGATTCTGAAAATTGTGATAATTGAATTATTTGTTGATCAAAACTCAAATAATTGTCGGAGAATTTTTGTGCACTGTGATAGATCCATCCATAGAGTGAGAGGCGGGGTCCACCCTGGACAGGTCACCAGTCTAACCATGATAGATTTATCAAATAAAAATGTGTTTGTTAATTGCTCCGTTTAGTACCGACTGTAAAAAAAATGTGAGCGCTTTGTGCACGTTCACATCGGCTCTTTGTGTGTAACCAAGTTTCATGAACCATAGATTCATACTGGGCGTTTGCACTGATATTTTGGCTCCAGCACACCAACCACTTCACCGGTCCTCATGGGCTGTTGCAAAACAGCTTCAGGTTTTAATGAAAAGTGCGTTTACTTATTCAGCTCTATTGTGATGCGACATTGTAGAGCTGCTCAAGTGTTTTGTGCTCTCTCCTCTTTCTGCCAATCTCAGGACCCTCGCTGATTGGATAATGACCATCTGAGAAAACATTTCTGGAGGGCTCTCTAATGATGTGACAATCTCATTAATACACACACTACACAGGACATATGCATTGCAGGAGCTGAATGAAGCTGTGCATTTGTCTCAGGATGCTCTGGCACCAAGTGTTTGTGTGCAGCAGTGTGAGAGTGTGTGTGTGTGTGTGTTTGTTTGTTTGGGTACTTGTCATCATCAAAGTAAGTGTACCCTTTAATTACCCATAGCAGATGCAGCTTTTAAATAAAGGCTACATCACCAAAGCCGCACACTCTATGTGTCACACAATAGTGGTGCTGGGCGCCGGAATGGATTATTCTGACAACAAAAGAGGGGTGAGCAGAGGGGAGATGGGGGGGGATCTTCAGCACAATCAGACACTGACTGTGAAAGCTGAGCATGAGGAAGAATGACAACACAGGCTACAGTGAAGTTCTCAGTTCAACGTGCTCTTTGAAAATATTAGAGTATGGATCATAAAACCACTAGTACTTATTTAAAAACATTTCTGAATATCTGAATGTGGGTGGCTGTGGCTCACGAGGTAGGGCAGTCGTCTCCTGACCAGCAAGTTGGTGGTTCGACTCCCGGTCTCCCCACATGCCTAAGTGTCCCTG